TTTGCGGCGACGACACGCCCGCGCACTGTGGCCATACATGAGACAGTTTTTGCAGGGGCGAGGGGCGTAGACCCACGGCGTGATCGGGACTCTCAAGTAGCCGCAATACACGACTTGCGGGAGGTCCCGCCCGGCGAACCATAGTCTTATTGTGGGGTTAGGACCCATCTTTTCGATGTTGTTGGACCTGAGCCTTTCGACTTTGATGACGCCTTGCTCCTTGAGTTCGTCGAGGAGCTCAGCGTTGCTGAGCTCCGTCAGCGCCTCGCTCCTGAGAGCACCTTCCACTGAGTTCAGTCGGTGGGCGAGTTGGGTTGTCACGGGTTGGTCGGTGAACGTCGTCATGTTGAGGAGGATCTCTGTCTGCTCTTTGTTTTTCGTTTGGATCAGAAGGGACCCGGACTGTACGGCCTTAGCCGAGGTGACGGGGCCGCACAGGCGATCCAAGGACCGCTTGATGGTAAACGGGTTGCTGTTTTTGAACGTTAGGTTGTTGGTGGTTTTTTTTACCAGCACGAAAGCTGGGCCGTCAGGGATGGTTTCGGAGGGGGGCAGTGAGGCCGCCCCCTCATCCTGGTAGAAAGGCATGTTACTCTGGTTAATAAGCAGTTTCAATCAGCTTAAATCTTTCATTTGGTCCCAAATGCTTTGACCTGCGCTGGTTTCTCTTGGCGAGGCAGCCCGAGAGGTCAGCAACGTACCGCGAGTCATCTGACCTGTCTAGATAGAACAGCTCCATACCGGCCGCAGACGGTTATGAGCGGTTTCAGTCGCATTTCGTCACATGACGCATGGTTGATTATGCATTATGCATGTTGCAAACATGTGTTAACACCATCTGCCGCGAACTGCCGCTAACGTGCGCTGTAACGGTGACATATCGCGGTCTGTTGTGGTGACGGTTCAGTAATTGATGCAGCAATGACGGTTCAGTAATCGATCCAGCAATGACGGTTCGGTAATTGATGCAGCAATGACGGTTCAGTAATCGATCCAGCAATGACGGTTCAGTAATCGATCCAGCAATGACGGTTCAGTAATCGATCCAGCAATGACGGTTCAGTAATCGATCCAGCAGTGACGGTTCAGTAATCGATCCAGCAATGACGGTTCATTAATCGATCCAGCAATGACGGTTCAGTAATCGATCCACCAAGGCGGTAGGTAGGTACCGGATGTTACAGAATATGCGGCATGCGCACGGATCAAAGAAAATGGATATGGTATCTGATCCCACGGACCCTGATCTCGGATCCGATTAAGACATAGGTGTAACTCTTTGATTTGTATTTAACCCGCGCACCGACGGGGGTCTGCGCCAACTTAGTACCGACGGGGGGGGGGGCGGATGACCGCCCCCCCCCCCTGAGATCTCGAGAACGAAGCAAGATAGCGACAAGCGGTAAACGGCATCGGATACGCACGGACAAGGTCTACAATTTTTACTAAGGTCATTTTCAGGTCAGGTCAAAGATGACGTCACAGGGGTCGAAAAAGTCAAAATGGCGGCGCTAGATATGGAGAGGGTTTTTCTCGAATAACTTTCGAAGTAGTCAAGATAGGAACAAACTAAGGGCGTCATCGTGATCCTCTCGTCAATCCACATCGAATGATATATATGTTGACCTCGAAAGGTCAAGGTCAAAGGTTGACCTCAGGTCACGTGACCTCGAGGTCATCATGTATATCATTCGATGCGTCTTGACGAGCTGAACACAATGAGACCATCCGCGCGGCTGTATCTTGTTCCTGTAAGGAGTTATTGGCAAAAAACCTTTGGTGACCTTTGATGACGTCACATGACCTTACAGCTGCCCAACAGCAAAACAGACCTCAAGGTAGTGAAGGTTGATCGTATGTGAAGTCATGTATGGTATATGGGGCCATTCCGACCCGTTTTAGTGGTAAAAACAGGGAGTTGATTTTTCCCCCATTGACTTATAATGGGGAGGTCGCGAAATTGACCTGACCTTAGGTCACCGACATCAAAATTCCGAGATATACAAATTGTAGCTACTAATGACCTAATAACATCCTGCGACTTTCAAAGGCCTCCGACATCTACTGTAGCTCTGGCACGGTGACAAAGTTGCAAAAAAGTGACTTGAGGTTGGGTCATTCAAAGTGACCTGGTGACCTGACCTTAAAAGTTAGGAGGTTCAAACTTGCACACCATGTGTAAAATTGATGAGAGAATAGTCATACCAAATTTCGCGGCGCCGCGGTTTTCCCGCTATCCGCGAAAAACCTCAGGGGGGGGGGCGGATATCCGCCCCCCCCCGTCGGTGCGCGGGTTAATAAAAATGCCAAGTTTAACCCTCGCCGGACCTATTGGTTTTCTACATACGCGCCGGCCGAGGGGGGGGGCGGGTACGACCCCCCCTCGCCGTTTCGCCCCTGGTGGAGCTAGCGCGTCGCGGAAAAAACGAGCGTGTGCGCCGTTACGAGACGCAGAGATTGGTACCCGATTTCAAGGTCCTAGGTCAACCGGTAACCTCTGAGATCAGGTCAAGTGCCCCAGGGTACGGTTCAGTTTTTGGTGAATAACTTCGCAAAAAAACGACCACAGAGCCGCGATTTTGGCAGCATCGTGTTCGCCTTGCTCAGGCGCGTCGAATGATATACTTTTTGTCCGGGTCAGGTCAACTTGGGGTGTTGACCTCAGGTCAAGGTCAGGTCAGCACCCCCAGGTCACGAAGTTGGTCGAAAGAGGTCATGTCGCATATCATTCGATTCGGCAGGTCTTCCTGAGTCCATTGGTGGCTTTCTCGACTCGCTAGCTCAATTTGATCAAGAGTTATTGACGAAAAACTAATATAACCTTGATGACGTCATAAATGACGTCACGCAAGGTCAACATTGCAAAAGTGACGCATCTAACCTTGCAAGGAGTGCATCAAAGCATGATTCTGTGTGCTTGAGATAGTTGGAGATCGTTCCCGGCGCCAGAATAGCAGTTTTCATTTTTCCCCATTGACTTATAATGGTGAGGTCACGAAAATGACCTGACCTCATATGACATTTAGGAAAAATCCGAGATATACAAGCTGTGAGACTCATGATGGATACTAGATCCTGCAAGTTTCATTTCCCTGTGACATCTCCTCTGGCAGTGAGGGCGTTGCGAAGTTGCGACATCTGAAGACCGTGCAGAGGTTCACTTATGACGTCATAGGTCAGTGACCTGACCTGACCCAAAAATGCGGTTGGTGTCAAAAGATCCGGCTTGGATCAAAGGTCAGGTATGCCAAGTTTCAGCTCTCTATCGCCAGCGTGTTCGGAGCTATCGCGAAAAAACCCTATGGGGGGGGCGGCACCCGCCCCCCCCCCCTCGGCCGGCGAGGGTTAAGAATATATTCTGGACATTGTTTTCAATGAATTTCTCCGATATTATGAGCATACGGTCAATTTCACCATTTTTATTTATTACAATCATGCTCAAAGAAACGTTGTATCGCATAACCCGCGCCCTGGTGGGGTCTGTTTATAACGCGACCTGGTGGGGGGGGGGGGGCTATTTTTTGCCCCCCCCCCCTCGTATCTCCGAAACTACTGGACGGATCCGAAAAATTCAAACGGAGTTCGAAAGGCCTGTCAAATTTGTTGAGGGAAACCAAATTTTATTGACCTCGGGGTCACCGATGACGTCACAGGTCAGGTCAAAGATGAAATGTTTCACCGTTCACGGGTCTTCTAGGGAATGCGCTATAACACCGAGGAAAACGCATTTTGTCGGGAATCAGCGATAGGGCGTCAGTTGCCTAGTAGATATGTTGCTGTTAGAGGTCACTGGTCATACGAGGTCAGGTCACAGGTCAGGTCACCAAAGGTCACCAAGGGTCACCACATGAACCCAACTTTACTAAGGTTATGCGATGCATGTTTTATGGTCAGTTTTTCATTTCCAACTCAATAATGTTGGTTATAAGACCATCAGGTACGGTTTAGGTCACTTTCTGGTGGAGGTCAGGTCAAGGTCAGGTCAAAAAAGGTCAAATTTCAAAGTTGATATTTTTGCATAAAATGGGTATTGATTCGATGCAGCTCGTCACGGGGAGTCTAATGGTGGTCTTTGTTTTGCGCTACGAGGTCTAGAATTGCTGAAAATTGAGTTTGAAAATTTGACGTCATCAATTTTGAACAGTTGTTTCGCTATAACTTGGCCAAAAAAAAGAGGTTTCGATCTCAAATTTGCTATGTAGATAGAAGGCGGTAAGGACTATCACATATATTCCGGTTTTTTCGAAATTCAAAAAACTTTTTGGATTTTTTGGCTATTATATTCAAAAAATCTATTTTTTATTTTTGGGGGTCAAAATCCAACAATTTCAAAAATCCGAGATAGCAGTTTTGTAGCCCTGTCCATTCAACAGCTTTTATGTCTGTATCATTTTTCTGTATTTGCAAAGCTATAGGCCTGACAGCTCTTCCCGCGAAACCCTTTTTTGGGTCGAAAACGGCAGAACATGACGTCACTCTGACGTCATTTCCGGCCAACCTATCATAGCCTTTGGAAAAATTTTTGGTCACAATGTGTAAAATTGATGTCCGGGAGGGTACTGAAAGTTTGGTGACGATCGGCGCAGTGGTTCTGGAGATATATTGAAAAGTCTGGAGGGGGGGCAAAAAATAGCCCCCCACCAGGTCGCGGGATAAAGCTCTTTGATTTGTCGCGAAATTCATCGGAATGATAGATCCGAACATAACGTTTGCCTAGAGATCCGGTGAGATCATAGATCCTTACACAATTTTAATCTGCTTTTCTGGCATTGTGCTTTATTTTGCGTATCTATGCAAAGGAAGCGGTTTATGATATCTTTTGGATTATTTGCATTATTTTTCGTTAACCGGTATTTTATGTGACAACGTACGCTATTAGGTAGCGGCATTTTTCTCTGAAGACCCCGAGATTCGCCAATATTATGTCTCGTGGCTCGTATAAATAGATCCGTCATCTGTCATAAGCACGTCATGACGGCCGTCTGTGTATGTACCGCCAGGTATCCGGAATGTGTCCACTCCAGCTCAGGGCCCTGGTGGTGATCGCCGCACTCTCCGCCATCCCAGCTGGTGAGTTCAACTGCCAACGTCATCAGAGCTAGTATCGCCCGTAAAATGTCTGTAAGCAGGCAGCAGCCCATGAATAAACATTGGATATAAACAAGCTAGCATATTGAGGCTGCTTGGCAAAGTGTTTTGATAGGCGGGTAAAAGAGTGTAGCATCCGTGTTCAGATGAAGACATGTTGGTCGGATGAGTACATATATCGTGCAAGGTAATCATATTGTCCTAATTCTTAGGTGTTGTTTTTATCCGCTGGGACTGAGAGCGTGAGATGATGTTTTTCGTACTCCAGCGTAGATGGGTAGCCATACGGCTGCCACGGTTGACAGTGATGACATCAGTCATCTTTTGGAAGCTCGTTAAAAATTTGGGCTATATGGGGATTCGAACCTCGGACCTTTGGATTAGCGCTCCAATGCTCTACTTCTGAGCTATACAGAAACATCACCTCACACATTGTCCTAACTTCTGTATACTCCCTCGGTGAAGTATTTTAGGCTCAAAACGCACCATTGCACGCAGCAGACAGCACGATTCGTTGACGTTTGTTTTAGCTGCTAAATGTTTGACTTGCATGACACGCTAGGCCACTGTTTGATGACTGCTGATTTTTCCCGGTGCACGCATCCTATACGCAGAACTGACCCGGACACAGCGCGCTGCGGCAAAACGACATACATTGTCCTTATCGCTTGCTCAATCGCACGAGTACATACACCGCGCAGTTGGTATATAATTATAGCACTGCAACACAATATGTGATATGATATATAATAGCATTGACGGAGGTGTAATGATCATTGTTAGGTGTCTATGCTTTTGTGGTAAAGCTTTCTGGACTTAGTTCACCTCCCTTATGCGAACTGTAATAATTTGTTACATAGACCATTATATACCACTTCAACTACCACTTGATAGGTATAAAGTGGTCTATGTTTGTTATTTATTCATTACGGAGCGAGCGAAGCGAGCGCAGTCTTTCCTTAGATTAACGGAAATTTCTGAGTATGAGCGGCCGGCCGGCCGTGGTCACGATTTTGCGACGTCGAACTGAGGCTCGGCCCGACGTCGGCCGAAATTCGGTTCAACCTCGGCCCGACATCGGCTGGACGTCGGGCACGCCCTCATGTACCGACGTCCAGCCGAAGTCCAGCCGACGTCGGGCCGAGGTCGTTTGCCGAGGTTGACGAGATCGTTTGTCGTTGGACCGACGGGACCGACATCGGCATGTTTACTGGGACAACGCGCCAAAAGCGTCAGCCGGCGACGGGATTCGAACCACGTGTCATTTGAACGCGAGGCTAGTGCGCTAGCCGCTAACCACTACACCACGCAGCCAGCTAGTAGCGAAATCTGTTTGTTTTGTTCCTTATGCCCTTTCGGTCTGGCAAGACCATGTCAGAGCCGGAAGGATGATAGGGATTAGCCCTCGCCGGCCGAGGGGGGGGGGGGCGGGTGCCGCCCCCCCCCCCATAGGGTTTTTTCGCGATAGCTCCGAACACGCTGGCGATAGAGAGCTGAAACTTGGCATACCTGACCTTTGATCCAAGCCGCATATTTTGACACCAACCGCATTTTTGGGTCAGGTCAGGTCACTGACCTATGACGTCACAAGTGAACCTCTGCACGGTCATCAGATGTCGCAACTTCGCAACGCTCTCACTGCCAGAGGAGATGTCACAGGGAAATGAAACTTGCAGGATCTAGTATCCATTATGAGTCTCACAACTTGTATATCTCGGATTTTTCCTAAATGTCATATGAGGTCAGGTCATTTTCGTGACCTCACCATTATAAGTCAATGGGGAAAAATGAAAACTGCTATTCTGGCGCCGGGAACGATCTCCAACTATCTCAAGCACACGGTTCTGCGACACCTGAGCGAACGTCATTTCAGCGAACGACATTTGAGCGAAACATTTTCAGCGATTATCAATTTAAGCGATTGGCTTTTTCAGCGATTGTCAAGTCGGCGAATTCAATCACAGCGATTATCAACTTTAGCGAGGACCAGAATCAGCGAAACCAGATTGAGCGAACATATGGTGGTCAGTGGGAGACCAGTTGAGCGATGCAGTTACAGCGAATGACCGAACGCGACGAAAGTCAATCATTTGCTACTTTTCGGAAATTATTGCACCTCTTTACGTATCATTTGAATTTTGAAGAAACATATGTACATCGGATGACCAACAAGGGGTGCATGGGAGGGGAAGGAGGCGGGCAAAATTTGAATTGAAAATGTGGAACGTGAGAGATAAGGCGACGGAAGGAATGCCAAGGACCAATAACAAACTAGAGAGATGGCACAGGGGAATCCAGTCTATGTTTCAGGGACCTCACCCAAATATCTGGAAATTCGTACGGTGCTTGGGGCAAGAACAAATTTTACAACATGGGGAACTGATCCAACTTCAAGCGGGGCAATTTTGCGAAAAAAGCACAAGCAATATTGATCTCTGAACAAACGTTTGGTCACCATTATTGACAAAGAGCAGGGTGGGTTGGGGGGGGGGGGGGTGAAATTGAACCGTTGGAATTTTTGACAAATGTAGCATTAAAATTGGAGCTCAATGCCTGACCTTTGAACGCGCGACATCCGCCATCCAGTACCGGATAACCATGAGAAATTCCGGAAACATTCGTACGCATACGCTCGCAAAAGAAAAAAATCCACCGTTACAGGACGATGAAATGTTTCGCTGAACTGACAGTCGCTCAAATTGTAGTCGACGAAATATATGTCGCTGAAACATAGCTTTCGCTAAAATTGATAATCGCTATATTTGATAATCGATGAACTTGATAATCGCTGAATTGCCATTCGCTGAAAATGGTTCGCTCAAATGACGTTCGCTCAAATGACACTCGCTAAAGTCGCTCGCACCGCAAGCACACAGAATCGTGATTTGATGCACTCCTTGCAAGGTCAGATGCGTCACTTTTGCAATGTTGACCTTGCGTGACGTTATTTATGACGTCATCAAGGTCATATTAGTTTTTCGTCAATAACTCTTGATCAAATTGAGCTAGCGAGTCGGGGAAGCCACCAATGGACTCAGGAAGATCTGCCGAATCGAATGCTATGCGACATGACTTCTTTCGACCAACTTCGTGACCTGGGGGTGCTGACCTGACCTTGACCTGAGGTCAACACCCCAAGTTGACCTGACCCGAACAAAAAGTATATCATTCGACGCGCCTGAGCGAGACGAACACGATGCTGCCAAAATCGCGGCGCTGCTGCGGGATAAAGTTTCCCGTCCAGTCCGGATTAGGGGGTTGCGGCATGGAGGAGGATTTGACTTTCCTGAGGATGTTTTGAATACAGAAGCTCTTGAAACATGACACATGCATTTTATGTTATTTTAACGGTAAAAACAGCGGCCGATGTCGGTCTGACGTCGCCCCGACGTCAGCCCGACGTCGGCTGGACCTCAGCAATTGATCTCGGTCCGACGTCGGCCCGACGTCGGCTGGACCTCGGCTGGACGTCGGTACATGCGGGCGTACCCGACATCCAGCCGACGTCGTACCGAGGTCGGACCGACGTCGGGCCGACGTCGGCATGCCGACGCCGAGATGCCGACGTCACCCCGATGTTTGCCGACGTCGGGCCGACGTTGGCATGTTTATACTGGGGTGGTCTTACTTGAGCCCTGGACTACGGCTTAATTTTGTTCGCTGACCTGTACCTATCATGGCCTGGCGTCTGGACCTTGTTATAGACAGATCCAGAAAGGCGTTTTCAGACGCTGAGGGGGCATAGCCTAAAAAAAATTCTCCAAATTCCAAAATCACATTTTTATTACTTTGCACTGCTGGTCAGCTAAGGTTAATTTGTTTGCTATGAAAATTGTTGAGTTTTTCTAGTTTTTTTTTTCGAGAAAAACGGCACATCATCGTTGATTTCTGTGTGAGGAGGGGTAGCTCGTTCAAATTCCCGTAGGATCCGCCGGTGGGCCCTGTGCCCTGTGTTCGTGCCCTGACCTGTGGCTGTGTTCTGACCGGCTGCCCGACCGCCCGTTGTCCCAGAAGTGTTGCCGGCTGCCCCGAGTCTGCAGGTGGCAGCACTGTCGCCGACCGCGCTGCAGGTCACGTGGCAGCCCGGTCAAGGTCACGTGGCAGCGCTGCCCGCTGATTGGTTCGTGGTGACTGTGACGCCTTTGCGCTCCTTCGACCCAGACAAGATGGCACTGTTGCCTAGCAACGAGACGGTGATCGACCCCGCGAATGCTGTGGACGAAACTGTACATATGTTTAATGTGAGTAGTTGAGTGCAACGAGTTGGCTATGTCTGTGACGTCCAACGACTTCACATCGCCAGTTTGTACACCATTAGAGGAAGGTCACAACATTACTGTGAATAGGATTAGGTATGCACCATTATGATGCTTTCACTAATGAATTTATTCTTGGAAAGATCTTTTAAACCAGATTAGGTACTGCCAGCCAATCGTGCTGGGTATATCTTGTGATATTGAGAGGAAGAGGGGAAGTGAGAGCGGGAGCAAGTGAATGAGTGAGAGTGAGTGAGTGAGTGAGTAAGTGAGTAAATGGTTGAGTGGGTTAGAGGGAGGGAGAGAGACGCCTCTAAAGAGTGACACTTGACGCGCCATGGGCGGTACTCGGTTTAAGTGATAAGAGAGCTGCTTTGTGGCAATTAAGAGAGTTGAATGTTGATACTTGATAACTAGTACCGTGTTGAATGCACCTTTTGGTGCAAAGACCTCCATTGACAGGTGACCCCTCTGCGCCCTCAGGCCAGCGCAGAGCAGCGATCTCTAAACATCACGGCGCTCCGTCCGCTGCACATGTACGAGGTGTCGGTGACGGCCCACAGCTCTCTGGGAATCAGCGCCAGCTCGGACCGGGTCCGGGCCGTCACCTGGATCCCGGATACCTCGGCCGGATCCGGGACACCGCCTCCTCTAACCGCCGTCCGCGACTGCTGCCAGCGCGCCGGCATCCCGGCACAGTCCGGATGTGTGCAGATGCTCTGTGACCCGCCCGGCGCTGCTAATTCCACCTATCAAGCTAATACGATTGCGACGGTGGTGTGCTCGAACTGGATTCGGCAGAGTTTCGCGTGCATGACGGACGGCCAGGACCACCGCGACTGCTGCCGGGCGCGGGGTCTTCCGGAGCGCTGCGTGCAGCTGTGCGCGCCGGCGGCACCGGTCACCGCCGCGCACCTAGGGTGAGTAGACAGACCTGCAGGCCTGTTTATGGTGTATTTAGTCTGCCGTAACGCTCACGGACATGTGTGCCCATTTAGTCCTCACCATTATGGGTGTTTTGCCAGCCGCGAACATCTGGGGCATCCTTTGGACCCCCCCCCCCCCTTTTACCGTTCGGCAATTCGGCAAATACGATCGAGCTAGAGCTTTACGAAAAAACGAGCATGTTGCCTGTGACGAGAGGAAGGATACCCAATGGCAATGTCCTAGGTCATTGGTTGATCTTCCAGGTCAGGCCAATGACCCAAAGGTTGGAAAAATCGGGATCAGTCAGAACTTCGTAAATGGAGGCTGTCATGTTTTTTGTTGTTGTTGTTTTTTTAGGTGCTAACATCAACGTGAATTTGATCGCATTGATGTCTTCATGCATTTAGGGCAGGTCGGGTCAAGTCAGGTTAGGTCAACCAGTAGGCGTCCTGCTGGGTATCCTATATGTCAACTACCACTGACGGCGTCGTAACATGTTACGAAGGCACCAAAACTACTTCGTGAATTGCCTTCATATAACGTCTAGGTAGCTGTTCAAATGGATGCTAAATTCGAAATCAGCTCCCAAAACTCTCCTAGACACATGTAAACCTCGAAAAAGTGAACCAAGATCATCAACGGTTAACCCGCGCCCAACGCCATTTTTGAAGATATCTAGCGAAAACTTGCTAGAGTAAGTCATAACCATGTGGTCTATCACATATATTCCGGATTTTTCGAAAAGTAAAAAAAAAATTGAAAAAAATATAAAAATAAAATTTTGAATTTTATTGTATATGTTTTTTTCAAAATTTTGACAATTTTGAAAATCCAAGATAGCAGTTTGATAGCGAAGTCTATTCTGAGTCCTGTCATGCAAAGAAATTGGATCTAGCTTAAAAACTGAGCTCTTGGGAGCGATTGCCGTGGTTCAATGTTTTGCGTCGAAATCGGCCGAACATGACGTCACTCTGACGTCATTTCCGATCGACATTTGGTAGCTAAGAAGTTCATATTTTGACACAAGGTATCAAATCGATGCAGCCGAAGGTACTGAAAGTTTGGCGTCGATACGTCAAGCGGTTTGGAAGTTATTGCAGAAAAACGGGAGGAGAGCTATGAATAGTCCCCCCCCCCTCCCGTGGGGCGCGGGTTAATGACCTTGGCCGGATATTCACGTGACCTTAGCACCTACCAAAATGCATTGGACCCACAGCATTTCACATGTTACATAGAACGTTTACAACCACAAAAAGACGGAAAACGCGGCGTTAAAGGGACACTCCCACCTTAACATTAGTTTTGAGTTGAGATAGCCAAATTGGTGGCCATGGCCTGCAAATATTGGTTTGGGCACTCACAACATCGAAAAGTGCTTTAATTCGAAGATATGGAATTTCAAACTTGCAGTTTTCGGATTCTAAGGGGCTAATGCATTGGAATGCCCCCTTAGAATTTGTGACGTCAGCGGAGATCTAACGATTTTTAAATCTTAGACTAAAACCATCGTTAACACGTGGTGGTATATGCTGTTTTGCGCGCAACGTCTGCCGCACTTTAAGGCTGCCAAATTATTGCTTCCAAATAAAGTCGCTAGTAACAGGGGAGATCCCAAAAAGTAAACAAAAGTAAAAGCCTAATATCTTGAAAACCAGTGAATATTTTTCGGTGAAATTTGGTAGATATTCGTTTTCACTCTTTCTGAACCAAGGGACATCACTTTCATGCCAATCCATTAACTTTTTTGGAGGTGGGAGGGTCCCTTTAATATGAGGCGGCATACGCCGAACCGAGATTCTGGCCTAACGCGGTCAGAAATAGGTTACAGGTCAAAGGTCATTTGGGTCAGGGTCATGAAATTTTTAAGTTAGATGTAAAATTGATCAACCTGATGGTACTGAAAGTTTTGTCGCGGCCACTTCTTGCGCTAGTCATTTGCAACAACAACAAAATGAAGGGGATCCGTTTGACTCCCCCCCCCCCCCCCCCCCATAAGTGCAGGATTAAAAGTGAAACCAATATTAACTTTTTAGTGTGTGTCTATAAATACCTATAAAGCGCACGAGTGAGTGCGCTACAATTGTGTTTTGAAATCACTGAACTCTATAATGTGGAATGCGCATCGGCCGCCAGATGGTGTCCAACGGTGCCGCCATGTTGCGCAGACCAGAAAGCGGCCGCCGCCTGTGTTGGGGAATAGGGAATTCGGGACCTCGATTTACGTTTGCGGTCGCTGCATCCGTTACGTTCAAGCTATGTGGACACAGAACCCAGCATCTTACGCAGAATTGAGTGGAGAACAAGATGAAATCCTAAAAAATCCTCAGATATAAGGAACTAATACGTTAAACCCTTATAAGTCAATGGGGAAATATGAAAATTGCTATTTTGGCGCCGAGAAGGATCTGAAACTATCTCGAGCATATAGAATCATGATTTCATGCACTCCTTGCAAGGTTCTATGCTTCATATTTACATTGTTGCCCTTGCGTGACGTCATTTGTGACGTCACAAGGGTCACAATATTTCTTCAATAACTCCCGATCAAATTGAGCTAGCGAGTCGGGAAAGCCACCAATGGACTCAGGAAGACCTGCCGAATCGAATGATATGCGACATGACCTCTTTCGACCAACTTCGTGACCTGGGGGTGCTGACCTGACCTTGACCTGAGGTCAACACCCTAAGTTGGCCTGACCCGAACAAAAAGTATATCATTCGATGCGCCTGAGCTAGCTGAACACGATGATGCCAAAATCGCGGCTCTACGGCCATTTTTGGCGAAGTTATTTACCAAAAACCGAACCCTTGCCTTAGATCACTTGACCTGACCTCAGAGGTCACCGGTTGACCTGAGACCTGTACAGCGGGTTCCTACCAGTCACTCTGCATTATACTTTGCCGCATACGACCACTTAACCGCTTAATTCTAGTTAAATTAGCGGCGCATTAGCGAGGTGGGTTCAATCAACCCCCTCGGCCGGGGCAAATGTAGGTCCGGCGAGTGAATTTAAGGAATTCTGAAGATACGATCGTGTTCCCCACTCAATTCTGCGTAAGATGCCGGGTTCCGTATCTACGTAACTTGAACGTAACGGATGCGGCGGCCGCAAACGTAAATCGAGGTCCCGAATTCCCTATTCCTCAACACAGGCGGCGGCCGGTTCTTGGTCTGCGCAATATGGCCGCCACCGTTAGACACCACGGCCAATAGGATTGAAGCGGCATTGCTCCCCTGTGTTTGAAATTTAGACACGAAATCGTCCGGAACTGCTGAGTTTTTTTCACATAAACCAGGTATCCTTGCCGAGAACTACTAAGAGAAATATCAATAGATCGCACATATTTACATGCATGGTATGTACATTGTACATTCACTCTATTTACAGTGTACAAAATTACAAAGGGCGCAATCGAGTGTAGGTCACTACAGTTACGCGCCCATATGCATGCCTGGAGCTGACATTTGGCCAACAGAGGGTGATCACACCACCATCGTGTCGTTTTGCAGGTGCGTGCTGGTGTTCATGTCCAGTTACTCGTTCTGCTTGTTCGAGAACCACGGCGTGCTGCCTTCTGCGCCGCTGGGACCGCGGACAGCGCTGGTCCAACCCGACTGGGCTGTGCTGCGGTGGAACGAACCGAAACGACTGCCAGACACCGTACTCGGGTGAGTAAGCGAGTCAGATATGCCAGAGGGTGTACCTATAGTGTGCGCGCTCGAATGATCGTATCTGGTTGAGATTGTACAAAATAATACTTTTAAATACATGTATATACATGTATACTTGCGTCGTGATGAGTTATAAGCACTCAGAGTGTCTATGCACACTAGTGATGTCAATAACGGAAAATCAGGATACCGATACCAAACCAAATGCCAACCAAAACCATGAAAAATACCGAAACCAAACCAACTTGGGAACATGAGGGAAATACCAACTTTTTACCGAATTCGTATCCTCTTATACATTAGCCGGATTCGTAATACCAACAAAATACCAACAACATTAGGATCAAAATACCAAATACCAAGTTGGCATCGGTTTGGTATCGGTATACCAAGAAGTTGGTATCCGATTGACATCTCTAATGCACACTAAACACATTACGCTATTATTGTTCTTTTTACCGCTCGCAGGTACACCGTGAGAGTACGTGAGCTCGGCGACTCGGAGTTGAATGACACCTACACTGCCATCGCCGGCCAACACTCTCCGTTCCTGTTGGACCGTCTGACCGGCGGTCGGACGTATGAGTTTTTCGTCACGGCAGTGAACGATCACGGCGAGGGCGAGCGCAGCAACCGGGTCATATTTGAGGTAGGTCGATGACCACGGGGATGATCAAAGCACCCGGGCGATGTCTGAAGTACGTGGGAATGTACGGCATCTTTGGCAGCAGTGTTTCTTCTGCTGAACTTGCAGGGTACTACGATTTTTTTCTGCAACGCAAGGTTTTCGTTAGAAGAGGAAGCTTAGCTGGTAATGGGGAAGCATGGTCTTTCCGTCCCGGCATCAAAATGCTCCCGTTACCCGGGACTGTCCGATATGACTCTAAGGGGCCGGGGCCTGTGCAACAAGCTCGGCTTAGCGTGGGCTCCGGCTCTGTCAATCCGTTCATTCAAGCATTCGATCCTGATTTATAAAAATACCCAGTTTATCTCTGTGTATCTACCCACAGACGCCGCCGGCTGAACCCGATCTACTGGAAGACGGGTCGGGCGCTCCGACCTCCGTGGACCCCGCCGTGTGCTGCCGTGAGAGCGGCGTCCCTCCTCACTGCCAGAAGTTCTGCTCGTACTCGGGAATGGCCGAGGAAAAAGAGTTTGGAAATGGCTGTGAGAACTACTGGACGCAGGTTGGTCGGTGCTGTTGTCGCAAATTGGAGAAAACATGGAACATATGCATGTTAAGTGGTGTAAGAACGAGCATGCATATGTATAGGCAGGGCCGTTTAGAGGGGCAAATTTTTGTGTGCACTGGTTCTTCCTATATTTCTCCTTCTTGAAAACAATGAATAAAAGTATGTGGGATAAACCTGTCATATGAAAATATACTGGGTTCTGTACCTATGTTACAGTAACAAAAAAAAAGTTAATTGGCGAGCAGAACAACGGGGCTGTCCGGAACAGCGGAGCTGTTTATTTTTGTTAATAATTATCAGCAAGTTTTCCTCCAGAGAACATAGTCTCACTTACACTTGCATTGCCGTCTCGTCTACAAACACCAAAATCCTCATGCACGCTTTGTTGCTTTCCTGCTCTCCCTTTGTTGTTGTTGTTGTTGTTGCTGTTATTGTTGTTGTTGTTGTTGTTGTTGTTGTTTTTATTCAGACCTCTCTCCAACGGGTTCGGTATGTCCCATTTACAGGAGAGCTCCTGCTCCTCCAACAACAACGTGTTGTTGTTGTTGCAGTTGTTGTTGTTGTAGTTGTTGTTGTTGTTGTTGTTGTTGTGCTCACAGCTCTCGGCCTGCCGCAGATTGCCGGCTGTGTTGTTGTTGTAGTTGTTGTTGTTGTTGCTGTTGTTGTTGTTGTTGTTGTTGTTGTTGTGCTCACAGCTCTCGGCCTGCCGCAGATTGCCGGCTGTACTACTGAAGGACGGGGACGGGCCGCCGGCCGCTGTTGTACAGTGGCCCTGCCGGACCCGTGCCGCTCCCTCTGCGAGGGTCGCGCCCTGGGGGACGGCTGTCGCCGGGCCGCCCTGTACCTGCTGCGCTGCGCCACCTGGCAGGGCGTCACGCGACCCCCGGCCGTCAGGGGGACGCACGTCACCAATGTGACGGGTGATTCGGTGACACTGGTGTGGCAGCGGCAGAACGACGCCGATCAGTACCAGGTGAGGTGGGGCCGTGAGCTGAGATGGCAATTGCAGATCATTGGGATACAGACACCTGACCAAACCAAACGCCGACCATCACCTTAGGATAAAAAACACCACCAAACAGAGACAAGGAGAAATGCTGGCCCTTTTACAAAGTAAGAGCATTGAATGCATTCTATGTTCGAAAACAAGTAAATACAAAAACATCAGGCTTGAAATGCCAAATACCAAGGTGGTATCGATTTAACATTGGTACGATAAACGTTGGTGTCCTTTCAACATCTCTAGCGTGAACATAGGCCCATATAATTGTATTGGTGTGACGTAAGCGAGAGTTACAACACGAGAAGACTCATGTCTGACGCTAAAATGGGGTTCAATGAACATCGGCTGTGTAACGTGGGCTACTCCGTGCCGACAGGTCTTCTACGGAAAACTGAACTCGACTGAAGCTGTCTTCCACTGGCAAAACCGACTTGACCAGGTAAAATTGGTGGTCACTCAAATGGGTACGACCACTGGCAGACCCAACCGGGGCTGAAAGGCGGCCAACAACCAGAATTGATGGCCAAGTGTACGTTTCTTTTTGTGCACGCCTTGCAAAAGGTATGTGTAATGATACTAGTAATTTGTTCTTGAACGTTGTAGGTATCCTGACCTCCTTGTTACCGATATTAATTAAAATTAAATTCATGCTGAAGTAATGGGTAATAGAAACTAGAACTGAGGTGTAATAAGCCATAAGGGAAAAGGGTAAACACAATAATGTGATAGGCTGATAGCATGTCAGAGTAAGTGAGAACTGTAAGCCTAACACTTTTCTCTCTTGTCTTTTTTTAGTATTTTACGCTCAAGCTTCTACCGTGTTGAACATACTAACGGTAACGGTTGGCTCATGTACTGCCTCTCAGGTGAATCCAATGACGTCATTTCAGGTGATGGACGTCACTGGCACAACGCAGGCCCAAGTGGCGGTGGCTAGAGACGCCCTGTACGGGTTCTCTGTGTCCTATGTGGACGCAAATGGAACGCGGGCGCACTGGGGGTCGACCCTGCTGGTCAACGGGTCAGGTCAGCCGAGAATAAGGCGCAGATTATCATAGGCGGCGGAACGGGGAGGGCACCGGGGCACCGTGCCCCCCCCCCCCTTGATTTTGGCGTTTTAACACTAGCCCTATGGGCGTTGCATGGAAAGAATGGGACCAAAAGTCGGCAGTGCCCCCCCCCCCTTAATTGAAGGTGTTCCGCCGCTGCTGCAGCTTATCAGCCCAACCATAGAGTGAGACCCCAGGCCGGTTGAATGAGAGTTGGTGCGGTGCCTACGGTTTTTATTCATTCTTTGCATTAGTGGGTTACAAGGGGAGTTGCCGCTGCTGCTCAACACTAATTCCATTTGTAATGCACATTGAACTGCTAATGAAGGGTGATAAACTGTTCGACCCCATGCCAGCCATTTTCCAGTATAAGTTCCGTGTGATTTTCGTCTGTTGGCGTTGTGACCAGCAGCTGGGTCTGGGCTCCCCAAGCTGTCGCCTCCTCACGGAGTGACAATCAGAGGAGTATCAGCTCACGGCCTGGACGTCACCTGGGAGCCGCCAGCTGATAAGTCCGGAGGCGCGAGTGTGCGCTACAGGTCAGTCCAGCAGTCATACGGCTGCATTTCGGATCGGTAAGGGCATGACGATAAAAGAAAGTTACGAAGGCAGCCTGAATATGTTTTCTCGTGTTTTCTGTTCATTTTAAGTCGTGGTCTTGTTCATGCCCTATTCATTATAGGGGGTATAGTACAAATGCGGGATAAGATGCGTCGTGCTCGATTTTTTTCTCATGTAAGTACGTTTGTAGATATATGTCATACTCTTTGGTCTGAATGATTGATCAAGTGATGCATATGTTGTTTCTCTGAAGGCTCTATTATCAGGCTGAGGGTGAGCCAACACCCAGAGTTGTGCACTTGACGGATGCGAGCCACAACCTCACGGGACTGAACCATGGCACGGTGTACAGGTAAGTAGACAGGAGAGAGTGAGAGAGAGAGAGAGAGAGAGAGAGAGAGAGAGAGAGAGAGAGAGAGAGAGAGAGAGAGAGAGAGAGAGAGAGAGAGAGAGAGAGAGAGAGAGAGAGAGAGAGAGAGAGAGTAGAAAGAGCAATGTTTAGGTTACTTGGGATGTCGATTTTGAGTCACTGAGATGATGTGAGATGTCAGATGAGTCTACGTGGGTGTGAGACGTTTAGTGTGAGCTGAGAAATGCGTTAGTCACTATTGCCACAACCATAACAATGATGTGACGACGATGATGATGATGATGATGATGATGATGATGATGATGATGATGATGACGACGATGACGACGATGACGACGACGACGACGACGACGACGACGACGATGATGATGATGATGATGATGATGATGATGATGATGATGATGATGATGATGATGATGGTGATGATGATGATGATGATGATGATGATGATGATGATGATGATGATGATGATGATGATGATGATGATGATGATGATGATGATGATGATGATGATGATGATGATGATGATGACCTCCTCAGTGTGTGGGTAACAGCCGTGTCGGACGACGGAGCAGAGAGTGCTCCTTCAGAAACGGTGGAGGAACGGACCAGGAGCCCTCAGGAGATAGCACCGACTCTCCAGGTCAGGTGACAGGGTCACACCAAACATCAGCTGTTCACGTTTACACCGGTGTCACATAGAGCACCAACCATTCATTATAGCACCGGTGCATCAGTGATCAGAGTTCAAGCACCAGTTTGAAACGTTAACCCGCGCCCCTTAGCGGGGGGGGGGGGCATTTTGCCCCCTAAGATCTCGAGAACTACGCAAAGAAGCGACAAGCAGCAAACAATGTTGGATAGCCCCAACGGGGAACTAACTTGTGACCCAATTTCATTGACCTCAAACCGATGATGTCACAGGCCAGGTCAAATGTCGAATTTTCACAGTTTACAGGCATTTCAAGAAATGTGTTGTAAAATCGAGTAAAATGCATATCATTGAAAATACTCGATGGGAAATTGTTCTTCAAACACATATTTTGCTTTTAAGGTCACTGATACCAGGTCAGGTCACAGAGGTCAGGTCACTGAGAGTCATGATATGAAAATATCATGTAATTTATGTTTTATGGTCCATTTTACATGACAAATGCGATTATGTGGGTCAGGCAGCCTTTGGGGCAAGTTTAGGTTATGTTGTAGTCAAGGTCAGGTCAAGGTCAGGTCAAATTAGGTCAAATTTCAAACTTGATATTTTGCATAACATGGGTATCCATTCGATGCAGCTCGTCACGGGGAGTCTGATGGTGGTCTTTGTTTTGCGCTACGTGGTCTAGATTGCCTAAAATTGAGCTGGAAAATTTGACGTCATTTATTTTGAACAGCAGTACTTGGCCAAAGAAATAGGTATCGATCTAAAATTTGGTATATAGATAAAAGACGGCAGGTACTTTATACCAATTTCGCTTTTTTTGTGTTAAAATCGAAAACGTTTGGGATTGTATTGTTATTTTATCAATTATCAACAACATCAATTTTTCACTGGGGGGGGGGGTCAAAATCACAAAAAAAAATGAAATCCGAGATGGCAGAGTTGTAGCACCGTCTTTGCTCTATATACACGACTACATAAAGAACTTAAGAATTGCTCGTTAACTGTAGCGTGTGTGAGCGTTTCAAGATTTCATGTTTTTTCTCATTTTGCTCGAACATAACCTCAGTTTGACCTCATTCCTGACCTAAGGTGACCTAAAGCTTGAATTTTTGTGAAGGTGTCAAATTGATGCCCGGGAAGGTTTTGAAAATTTGGCGGCGTTGCGGCGCCGCCGCTTTCTTGCTATTCAGGAAAAACTACTGGGGGACGATATCCCCCCCCAGCAGGGAGAGGTTTAACCCGGCAGGCGGTGGGCCTCCCGGCCACCTTTCGCGCGGTGGGGGGGGGGGCATTTTTTGCCCCCCCCCCGTAACTCCGAAACTACCGGACGGATCCGAAAAAATTCAAACGGCGTTCGATAGCCCTGTCGAATAAGGTGAAGGAAAGCAAATTACATTGACCTCGGGGTCACCGATGACGTCACAGGTCAGGTCAAAGATAAAATTTTTCACCGTTCACGGGGCTTCTAGGGGGCTATATGTAACACCGAGTAAAACGCATTTTGTCGAAAATCAGCGATAGGACGTCAGTTGTCTAATACATATGTTGCTATTAGAGGTCACTGGTCATACCAGGTCAGGTCACAGGTCAGGTCACCAAAGGTCACCAAGGGTCACCACATGAACCCAACTTTACTAAGGTTGTGCGATGCATGTTTTATGGCCAGTTTTTTTTTTTCATTTCCAACTCAATGGTGTTGGTTATAAGACCATCAGGTACGGTTTAGGTCACTTGCTGGTGGAGGTCAGGTCAAGGTCAGGTCAAAAAAGGTCAAATTTCAAAGTTGTTATTTTTGAATAAAATGGGTATTGATTCGATGCAGCTCGTCACGGGGAGTTTAATGGTTGTCTTTGTTTTGCGCTACGAGTTCTAGAAGTGCTAAAAATTGAGTTTAAAGATTTGACGTCATCAATTTTGAACAGTTTTTTTTCGCTATAACTTGGCCAAAAATAGAGGTATCGATCTCAAACTTAGTATGTAGATAGAAAGCGGTAAGAACTATCACATATCTTCCGGTTTTTTTTTCGAAATGCAAAAAACAAATCTGGATTTTTCGGCTATTATCCCTAGAACGCCTAGGGGGGGGGGTTGTATCAACCCCCCCCCCCCTGAGGTTTTTTCGAAGTGCACGCTAAACGGCTTGTCGTAGCGGGCTGAAATTTTCAATACCCTCTGGGGCAACCTTTGCGCATCTTTTGCCGAAAAAAAATTGATCGGGTCATGTCAGGTCACGGAGTTATGACGTCATAAGAGGTACAGCCTCCGGCCGACAGTTACCAAACGTGTGCGCCGAATCCCTAGGTTTTCTGCCGGTGATACCCACATTGTTTGATGGATCATGATGAAACTTCCCATGCATGTTGGGGCAAGCATTGGCTATCGTGTGGTGCAAGAAAATTGACCGGGTCAGGTCAGGTCACGGAGTTATGACGTCACAAGAGGAACAGCGTCCGGTACTATTTTTGAAAAGCGCCCGAACCACTATTTTGCTAATTCTTGTCACCTCAATGGGAATATGCAGCAATATTAGCTTCTATAGGGAGCAAATGGACCTCCCAAATCCAAAAATACAATCAGATTTCAAAAATTTAAATTTTGATTTTTCGAATTTCTGCCGCCGACTGTGACCTTGCCGACTTCCGGCGCTCCCAACGCGCCATTTTTAGAGCTAGGGAAACGAAATACATACCAAACGATAGAGAATTGATCAAGGAACACGATAGTGAAGGTTTCAAGTCGATATCTCCCACCGTTTTGCCGCAATCGCCGCCGAAAGTTGAAAAAAGTCTATTTTTCCGAAAATTTGACTTTTGACCGGTCAAAAGTAGGTCAAATGTTGACCTAGGACCAAAAAATATACCACCAATCGCGAGATCTCGTTGAGAGCAATCCGTTGTTTTTTTTTTTTCGCTAAGCTCTACGACCTTCCGTTTCGAAACGCCAGGGGGGGTCGTAACAACCCCCCCCCCCCTGGTCGTTCGTGTTATGAGAAATGGCCTGGTCGTGCGAGGGTTATATTTAAAAATTCTATCATTTGATTTTTGGGGGTCAAAATCCGAAAATTTCAAACATCCGAGATTGCAGTTGTGTAGCCCTCTAAATTCTACACCTTTTATTGCTGAAACGTTTTTCTGTATCTCTAAAGCTGTAGGCCTGACAGCTCTTCTCGCGAAACCTTTTTTTGGGTCGAAAATGGCAGAAATGACGTCACTCTGACGTCATTAGCGTCCAACTTATCATAGCCTTTGGAAAAAAATTGGTCACAATGTGCAATAGCTACTCACGGGAGGGTACTGAAAGTTTGGTGACGATCGGCGCAGCGGTTCTCGAGATATATGGAAAAAACTAAAGGTGGGCAAAAAAATGCCCCCCGCATGACAATTGACAATTGTCATAAAAAAATCGCCATTTACGCGTCCCGCCCCCCTGGAAGGTTAATAGTTTAACGTTAACAGCTGCGACATTTTATTTTTGATAATTCTCAACGGTTCATATCAACATTCTTTTAATCAGGATTGTTTTAAAACACACATTGTATTGCTGTGCATTAAGTTCATCAAGCTGCACCGGTCCAAAACTGACTGCGCTCCGTCGGCTCAGCTTCCCAGGGTCGATCCCAGGGTGCCCACCGAGGGGGGCAACATGACCATCACCTGTGTGGCCACCGGATCGCCGACCCCGACGGTCACCCTGGTCCTCAATAATCGCGTGCGGAACGAGGTGAGCCACTTCTGAGACAGGCGGTGGCTACTGCAAGCTAGGGACAGTTTTTTTACGATACTTCGTCAATGTAAATGCCCTGGTGCCTGAAGACTGAACTTTCCTGTTAAGTATTAACTAAACAATGCATCGAGTTTTGCTAAATGTTGAGGTCTTTATCTTTATATTAAGGTCTTTTAAGGTCTTTTATGTTATTATCTTTCCTCAATAATCATTATCAATAACCTAATCAATTCAGTAACTATTCTACCCGCAATAATGACATAGTTTGAAGAGAAATGTGTCTACGATGTGTTGTTCAAGTGCGTTATTTCTATGTCTGTGCGTGTAAGGCACAATGACGTCTCACCTTTTCTCCTCAACCCGACAGAGTCGTACCCATGAGTTGGTGACGACAATCACCAATGTCACCAGGAACATTGAGCTGGCTCAGTGCAGTCTCGAGGTGGAACAGAGCCACCTGTTCTCATCGCGCCACATCCTGAAAAGACGTCAGTTGGACGGTGACGTCACAGCGCGTGACTCAGTTGTCAGGCATTGACACCATACTGCAATACGGCATTGATTTAGACGTGAAATGGACAAATATAATGTGGCATATAATAAACATATAGTATTTCGTACGCGGACAAGTTAACGCTCTCATAAGATTTATATCAGATTGAGTCAATGAGTCAATAGTTGATTGAGTCGATGCACATGGCATATCGCTCTCGATTCATTATATTGTATCGCAAATCACACCGTACTTGGCTAAGTTAGCTGACACTACCTCCAGTTGTTTGAAATAGCCGTTTTCACGACGGCCATCTGGTACACATTTGGTGCACATCTGGTACAGATCAGGTGCAGATTTGGTCAAATCAGGTTCAGTGTGTCTCATAGCAGCTATCAGCTAGGGTTGCACTAATTGCTTATAGGTATATACCTATGCCTGCTTTGTCAATTATCAGAGAGCATCATCGATTAAAACACTGAAATAAATTTATAAAATGAAGATATTTGCTGTAAAAGAAATTAGGTGCAGATTTGGTCAAATCAGGTGCATTCGCCGGATAGCCCGTCGTGAAAACGGCTAATACCTACCTGACCTGACTCACAACTGCCCCTGTTACCAGATGCTCCCCGGGTCTGGCTCTGGGCGGCGGAAGGCGGCGAGGAGGAGTCGGTGCCGGGCAGAAATGTGTCCTTGTCCTGTGACGTTGACGCCCACCCGAAACCCAACATGACCTGGCGAGGTAACCACTCGGAGATACTCCGTGCAGGAGGCAACCTTAACTTCACCTCGATAAAACAACGGGTAAGGAGAGCCTGGTCATTGGAGGGGATCTGCTTTTAATGGGGGCAAATACACCGCTGCCCTTTAAAAAATAAGGATTGAAAAAAAAAACTATGAAACGGCATTTTGGTTCAAACCTTTAAAGAAACCGAGAAACCGAGAAACCTTTGGAAGCCTCTGAAATCTAACAACACCATAATTTTCAAACATGATTTAAATAGCGTTTCGCTGATGCCTCTTTCATTCAATGACAGCTTGTCGATCATCTGACCTCGCCCCCCCCCCCTGTCACCCCTCCCCAGCCGGGGTACTACCGGATGGAGATGACGATCACAAATGTGACCGAGCAGCAGTTCATGACGTACACCTGCCACGCTGAGAACGAGCTCGGAGCCGATTCCAAGCAGATCGTGCTGAAAAAACGGCCGGTGAGAACAGCGAGGGATATCACCACTCGCCAACTCTTTTCTGCACTCAATGTGCATGTATGTCGAGTTTATTGTTCAAACATTAGTTTGAAACAGACGTCGAAAACATTTAAAACAATAGGCGACAAACATGGGCAGACGCATCACTGACATAGGTACATTTTCATTTTCTCAGAATATGTGGCAGTTCTACAAGCTCGGAGTTTCCCAGTGCTGCCGCAGTATGAACATCAGCGAGCCCTGCCAAGTCGCGTGCGCCGAACAAGAGGTGGACCTGGAGCCGGTCAACTCTAATCCAGCGTGTTTGAAAGAGTTCAGCAAACTGATGGTCTGCGCCGCAGGTAATATGACATCCCGCAGCTCACCAGCAGTTTGAATGCCATTATACTCGGTCGTTCAATAAGTAAGGTGAAATCATATTTATTTCAGCCCGTCTTATATGTAATTAATGACATGCAACTTACAACATATGTTTACTGAAATTTACTCTACAAAATGGCTATAAGCATTTGCTAGCAGGTCTCACCAGCCAGCTACCCCAGCCTTGGCGGAACTCACACCTACTTCCAATCACCGTTCAGGCGCACGTGCTTATCTCAGCACTCTCACCAAGCACTGATAACGCGCTCGGAAAACTCCTTATTGATGTTTTTTTTTGTCATGTCCTTTTATTTTCTTGATTGCCACATCCGTAAAACTTAGTCCCAGAAACAGGACGTCTTTCGGCAATCCGAACAGATTGAAGTGGGACGGCGCCAGATCAGGGCTGTACTCAGCATTTCTGAACTGCCATGGTGTGTCAAAAGTGGAAATAGCCGGTGCGCCGTCTGGCAACCCGGCAGCCCGCCGCTTTAGGGAAATTCATGCTTTTTGTCGCTTTTTCGCTCCTTATGAGTCATGTGATCTAATTAGAGCTTAACTAGGAACGAGGCGGATCACTTGGACGTATTCGGGAGCCGAATACGTTGTTTTGGAGCCAATAGGTTCTGACACACCATGAAAATAATACGGAGCCTAACTGAGCCTAACTCATATTTTTTCACATCATCGGCATATTTTGGGATGGTTCGGGAATTTTGTGGACGACATTCATGATTTAAAACGTCAGCCGGCGATTGATTGTTCCGTCCACAGATGGCTCTGACCACCACGACTGCTCCTCTGTTCGCGGTGTTAACTAGTTCTCCGTGCCACTAATAGATGGCTCTGACCACCGCAACTGCTGCTCTATTCGCGGTGTTAACTATTTGTATTTGACAATAGCAGACACTCTACAGCAACGCGTAGCTTTTACGTGTCCTTAGTCAGAGATGAATAAAAGAGCAAGGCAATGATGTCGCATAAACACACACACACAATGACACACCCCCACACACAGTACACACAGTCACGCATACAAGTCATCGTCGAGTAAAAATACGTTTCACAGCTCTTTTAAAACTAGTTCTCCGTTTCGTCCACAGATGGCTCTGACCACCGCGACTGCTGCTCTGTTCGCGGCATCCCCGACCACTGCCTCTCGTGGTGTAAGGGCCTGGACAATTTCGACCACCGACTACTGCTCGACCCCGACTGTATCACAATCTACGCGGCCGATATCGTCGGCTGCTTCCACGAGGGAAAAGGTAACCGAAGACGTAAAAAAAAAAGACAGACACGCATAATCAAGGGATTGCCCGATATTGGATGAAAGGCAATTAGGCCTTAAAGCTAGACCTTAGAAATAAGAAACGAACATGAATCCTTTTCTCGCAAAGGGCAGATAACCTGTTCATTATTTAGACCTCAGTGCATAGAACTCGACATCAAAATTACATAGCAAAACAATCATCCAGGGTCCCGGCAGGATCAGGTCGACTCCCTGTGCACCAGTGACGTCATATTCGTGTATGTCTAGTGCTCCAGTGACGTCACGCTGTGTTTTTCAGACCTGCTCCCCGGTCGGCCGCGGAACGTTGTGGCCACAAAGCTGAATGCCACGGCAGCACTGGTACGGTGGGAGGAGCCGGTCAGGACGGGAGACCACGCTGTCTCTTACAGGTTGGTGTGTGGGGCATCATTAGAGGGGGAGTGGTTGGAAGGGGATTCAGGGCAGGGCATATTTTAAGGCACTTACTGCGTCCCATTCTGGGACGCAGCCCCCTCGCCTTGGGACGTAGCCCCTGCTGATTTGGCCCACTGCGTCCCTACCCTGTGCCGTGTCCGGTTCCCTGACCTGTGCCCTGCTGTGTGCCCTGACCTGTACCCTTCCCTCTAAAATGTCCTGTGTCTTGCCCTGTAATCTGCCGTGCCCTACTTTCTGCCCTCATCAGTGCCCTACTCTGTTCCTTGCCCTGTGCCCTTAGTCGTAGCGCGTGCCCTCTGCTCAACTTTGGGACGCAGTAAAAATTTGTTAAAATATGCCCTGATTCAGGGAAGGGGGTGGTCAGATGAGGGGGCGTGTCAGATTGAGAGTAGTCAGTCGTCAGAAGACGGGAAGGGAGCGGGTGATGCACCAACAAGGAATGCAGGCTGCGTGACCGGATGACAGTGAGTTGGTGGATAGTGGCAAGATTACTTGTGGTACCGGTTAAAGGGTTAGGTCCAACCACCAAAACATTAGGTGAAGGTGACCCCATGGACCGGCAGAAGCCAGTTTATATATAAATTATCAACGGGATGGTCGAAGCTCATCGTCGTCCAGCTCCTATGCTGGCCTGACCCCTCAAAAACCCCATCTGAACCCCGACTGAGCCCTCGCTCGCTCGTTGTTCAGTGAGAATGCGGGCTGGTGTTGACCCTGGCTCCTGTCTGACCCCTATCTACCCCCTCCCCCAGGGTGCGCTGGTGTTGACCTTGACCCCACCCCTCCCCCAGGGTGCGCTGGTGGCCGCGGGGTGCCTCCAGTTCGGCCCATCTGGACACCCGGCGCACCTCCCACCTCCTGACAGGACTCGAGACAGGCGAGCAGTATCAGGTGGCCATCCGAGCCGCCAACAGACGAGGCGTGAGCCTGGAGACAACGGCAGAGGTCCGAGAGGAGGGCACGGACCCGGAGAGGAGTGTGGAGCAAGGTACGAGAGAGAGAGAGAGAGAGAGAGAGAGAGAGAGAGAGAGAGAGAGAGAGAGAGAGAGAGAGAGAGAGAGAGAGAGAGAGAGAGAGAGGGAGAGAGAGAGAGAGAGGGAGAGAGAGAGAGGGAGAGAGGGAGGGAGGGAGGGCTGACCAGTGGTTGCAGGCTAACCACGCAATTTCGTGAGTGTGAGTATGATAGGCTCTCTTTTTATATCCGATTCATAGCAATTTGATTCATATGCCGGCCCTGGTGGCGCAGTTGGTGATACGTTAGTTCGGCGTTCGAGAGGACCCGGGTTCGATTCCCGGCGCCGCCCAGCCCCGGAGGATCATGCGAATAAAATGAAATGGCAATGGTCACACGGATTGTTACACTGATTGTCAGTCACACTGCGTCTGTGTTACACTGATTGTCAGTCCCCCTGCGCCTGATGTGCGCCCCCCCCCCCCCCTGACCCCGGTGCCCCCAGGGCCGGCCCCCGGCACCAGCTCCGTGCTGGTGCCGGCGCTGACGCTGACCGTGCTGGTGATGGTGCTGGTGGCCGCGTTGGTGTGGGTGGTGCGCCGACGTCGGCTCAGACGCGGTCCCGGGGCGCACGTCAGCTTCACCAACCCCGCCTATGTGCGGGAAGGAGCGATACAGGTGACTGGGGAGGGGAGGAGAGGGGAGGGAGGGAGGGAACGAGAGAGGGAGGGAGGGGAGGGGAGGGAGGGAGGGAGTGTCGCAGGTGACTGGGGAGGGGAGGAGAGGGGAGGGAGGGAGGGAGGGGAAAGGTAGGAGAGAAAAAGGTGCCGCGGGGTATGAAAACGAGATTTGTTTGTTTTGTTTGTTTTGTTGGATTACGCCTTTTCGGTCCGACAGACCATTTCAGAGCCGGAAGGATAATAGGAATTAGGGGGACAACGGTCCGGAGGATGGAAACGACAGAACGTTGGGGATATGAAAAGGAGAGAAACTTTATATACTTTGTCACTCATTCAAACGTAAGTTTGGAACTTAACATTGTCTTCGACATAGTACGAAAGCCCTACGACTAATATCGTAGAATAATTATCGATATAGACGTGTTTAGTTATACTCGTAGCATTCCTGTAAGTGTTACCCATGTGAAAGGTTTGTTTTGTTTTGTTTTGTTGGGTTAGGCCCTTTCGGTCGACAAGACCATTGCAGAGCCGGAAGGATGATAGGAATTAGGGGGAGACATTGGTCTGGGCAGGCACCCTAGTGAGTCGCCGGGGCTGAGCCCGTCCCATGTGAAAGGCTTACTTTTTCGGTGTCTTTTGTTTTCTGCAGGAGTCGACCGAAGCTACTCTAACGGATAAATCCGGTGGCGACGGCAGCGCCCCTGGCGGCGGTCAGCACAGTACAGACTCCGACGACGGCTGGCACGAGACAGCGCTAGAGACGCCGGTGTTGGGTCGTGACGAACATTTGTGATGTGATCTCATTGAGTTTGAGTCGGAGCCGTTGCCAGGACTGCTCTAACGGAGTGAAGGCGAGTCAGCGCGACTCACTGACTCAGGCGAACTCAACACTCATAATGGAATCCATACTGAGTCATTAATGCCAAGTATGGGGTGGAAACTCCGCGACTTCAATGCCCTCAGGGCATTGAACAGACTCACAGCCGTGCCCGCTGCAATACTGAGGTGTATGACACTTCTCACTTTATACGGGATTGTTCAGTGTTGCGTGATTGACTATTCATTAGGTAGGTATGAGCTACATGTCAATGTGTCACGCATTTTGTAACGAATCAAGTCGTTATTTTTCTAACGCTTTGCTACCTATATAGTCATTTTTTTATTAGACAGTTTAGAGCAGAAAGGTCACAGATAATGTGTGAGGTAATATTTGTAGCCAATGTATGTATCTATTGCTTACTGCTTAGTATGTTTCGACTGAAGAATGTTTAAAAATCGCCAGTGTTGGTTGAAACGACATAACGATTTATTCATGTCTCATTCGATCACCGAGCATTGACGATTAGATGCTACTTATGTGACCTACCTGACCCTGACGTATGTTATATCAATATGATAGCATTGATAATGATGCACAATAAAGTATCCAACAATGACACATTGACTTATGATTCGCTCCGTGTTAATCGCACCCGATAGCACCAGGGGTGCCCGATTACGTCCGGCAGCGTGCGCCGTGCGCCGTGCAGCAGTAGGGTTGAGAGACCACGAAAGGTCTGTTTGAGGTAGAAATATCAGTGGTAGTGTCATATCCAACTACGAAGTTCATAAAATTTGAGCTGCATTCAGTGTCACTAGTCCCCAGTATTTGTATCATATCCGGTGTTACAGTCTCGGGTTCCCAGTACTTGTGCTGTACGTACTACGCAGTGTTCCCCAATGTTAGTGTCATACCCGGTGTTAGTCTCCAGTGTCAGTGTCATACCCGGTGTTACAGTCCCCAGTGTTAGTGTTGTATCCAGTGTTACAGTCCCCAGTGTTTGTGTCATACCCGGTGTTACAGTCCCCAGTGTTAGTGTCATACCCGGTGTTACAGTCCCCAGTGTTAGTGTTATATTCAGTGTTACAGTCCTCAGTGTTAATGTCATATCCAGTGTTACACTCCCCAGTGTTAGTGCCATATCCAGTGTTACAGTCCCCAGTGTTAGTCTTATATCCAGTGTTACAGTCCCCAGTGTTAGTGTTATATCCAGTGTTACTGTCCCCAGTGTTAGTGTTGTTTCCAGTGTTACAGTCCCCAGTGTTAGTGTTGTTTCCAGTGTTACAGTCCCCAGTGTTAGTGTTGTTTCCAGTGTTACAGTCCCCAGTGTTAGTGCTTTATCCAGCGTTACAGTCCCCACGGAGAGTGTCGTATATACATAGGTACCCACTACCTAAGGTTAGATAAGAGTTGTAAGCATGTCAGATACCCCAACTGTTCTCATCCTTGGTTTGACCATAGTTCTGTTTTCCATAGTTTTTAACCAACGCTCAACCCAAGCGTTGGTTAACTACTATGGACGTCAAACCCCTTGAGACCCCACTTTTTTGCGATAATTTTTAAATGCGTCAACTCTCGTTGACAATATTCTGGCAATGTGTGTTTTAGAACCTGCCAAAACTTTTATTACTAAGGTATTTTGACGCCAAACGATTATGAAAGGTACTTCTCATTCACACGTTATGTTAAATTTCACGGAACAAATCTGCTGTTTGGGTAGAGGCTACACGCTCATGGGGCGGAGCCACGTAATGACGTCAGCACTAAGCTCCGCCCTACCCCTCCGGCGCTCCTTGCCCGGCGACCGGTCACTCGCGTCTCTCGCTCCATTCAGGCTTGATGGTGGGCGGTAGCTGGTAGCGGTAGCGGGCGCTGGTAGATGACATTAAGAGCAGATGGCGCTGGTGGCGGGGCTCGAGTGTGGCCTAGCGCAAGCCTCTGCCCGGGCCTGAATTGACCTTAGCATTACGAGTGAATGAGAAGTACCTTTCATAATCGTTTGGCGTCAAAATACCTTAGTAATAAAAGTTTCGGCAGGTTCTGAAACACACATCGCCAGAGTATTGTCAACGAGAGTTGACGCATTTAAAAGTAATCGCAAAAAAGTGGGGTCTCAAGGGGTTTGACGTCCATAGTAACTCGGTATCGGTTACTTTGTCTCGCCGGTTGGTTAAAGTATAAGTACCCTTGGGTTGGTTGTAAAACAGTGTCACATGTTGGGCTTTCCAACATGATTTGTGGACTTCGATATTTTCCGATTGCTTCTGATGCACACGCAGTCCGTTGAAAGTCACGTTTTTTTTAGCATCAATGGATAATTCGTGTTTTCTTTTCCTTGTTTTCCTCCGTTCCTCTCTCTCTCTCTCTGCAGAGCCGCCGCCGTGACCGTGTGTCTATATTGGTGCCTCTCGCGGCGTCCCGCCCCGCCCCTCTCCCTCCACCATGCAGCCCTCTCTCTCTCAGATGATATCACGTGACTCGGATCAGCTGTGACGCCAACGGACGCGTCGCCACCATGGTAACGCCAGCTGACCACCGCGCGGCTGTCCACAATCGTCATGGCAACGACGCTGCCCGGCCTGAAGGCTACCTCTAGCCAACAGCTGAGCGTCCATAGCAACAGGCCGGCGGCCGTTGCCATGACGACGCCAGCGGTCGCTGGCACGGCGCCAGAAGCGCGGACGTCGTCAGCTGAGTGAACGCCTGAGGCGACGTCATAACAACGCCCAGGAGCGCGGCTCGGCCTCGGAAGACCGAAAACTCGCCGGCGGCGGGAATCGAACCCGGGACCGACAGCGGCGCCCACTCGCACGGCGATCACAGCGGGCAGTCTCTCACACCTGTCACGCACGCGTCAATACCACGCACGCCGCGGCTACAATCGCCGGAAAAAACAGCACATACCGGCCGGGCGGACGTCGTAACCTATATGAAGCGGGCCCAAACAGCGGGTAATGTTACCAAACCAGGCAACAGAACCACCGGCCACCGGTCTACCATACAACAAGTAACGGCCTAAAACAACGTGCCACATAATTATTATAAAAAAGCCGTATCTCGATAAAATCTACCAATGCGGGCCACCGATTCCACGCACCGAAAAACCAATCTGCGGCTGCGGCCGCTGACACACCAAAGCACCCCCATTCGGCGGCGGGCCGGCGTCTAAAAACCGACAATCAGAAGGTCCATGTCTGGATAACGTAACGGATCAGTGGGGCCGTCTCTAGATAACGCTAACATTGGGTGAGCAGCGGTGTAACGCCATCCTCCGTCGGCGGCGGTTAGCGGCGCGGACGTCTCTGCTGCGCGGCGCGGACGTCTCCGTCGCGTCGCGGACGTCTCCACCGCGCCGCGGACCTCTCCGTCGCGCCGCGGGCGTCTCCGCCGCGCCGCGTACGTCTCTGGCGTCTCTGCCGGCGCGGTGACACGGGTCGGGCGCCGCGGACGTCTCTGTCGGCGCGGGCCGGCGCGGTGACACGGGTCGGGCGCCGCTGGGTGCCGGGGGACCGACTGGCGGACGGGCGGCCCCGCCGATCAGCACGGCGGCTGGCACCAGCCCATTTTGACGCGCCACTTTGTCCACCAGTCGGCCGCCTCCTACCTGTAAGGGGGCAGAGGAGGGGGGGGGGGGGGTCAGAGGAGAGAACAGGCTGAGGTAGCTCAAACCAGGGGTGTGCATAAATTAATGCCACACGAAGTCATGAATGAGTCAGACTAAGGGGTTAGAAGTAAGAAGGATGTCAATTTAAATCATTGCCTCACATCCAAAATGACGAAATCGGCGGAAGTTCTAAGAGCTTTACACAAACGACGTCCTAAGCATGTTTTATAAGTTGTTCCCTCCATTTCCCACCCACCCCACAAGGGGAGTGTTCGAAGCCGTTCCCGCCAACTCTCTTTCTCCCATCTCCATCACCAAAATACTTTTCCACGTGGCGACATTGTTTGAACCCGTCCCCACTATCCCTCACCTGCGCGGGGCGGCTGGCGGCGCGGCGTTGACTGTATCTATAATTCTGCGCCTCACCTGCGCGGGGCCGCTGTCTGCGCTGGTCTGTATCAATAATTCTGCCGCTCACCTGCGCGGGGCGGCTGGCTGCGCTGGTCTGCTGTGTCCCTCACCTGCGCGGGGCGGCTGGTCTGTATCTATAATTCTGCCCCTCACCTGCGCGGGGCGGCTGTCTGCGCGGCGTTCGGCTGGTCCACGTTGGCATTAGCGGCCATGGGCCCGGCACCGGCAGCCCCCAGCGAGTTGTGGGTGCTCTCGTAGTCCATGACCTCCTTGTAGATGAGGTCTTTCCACTGCTCCACTGTGTGCTCCCGCTCGTCTACCGAGTGGTCGTACGGGCCCGGCGGCGGCTGAGGGGGGGGGGGTCAGGTCAGGTCACAGAGTGGTCGTACGGGCCAGGCGGCGGCTGGCGGGCGCGGGGCGGGGGGGTCAGGTCAGGTCACAGAGTTGTACGGGCCCGGCGGCGGCTGGCGGGGGGGGGGTGTCAGGTCAGGACCACATAGTGGTCGCACGGGCCCGGCGGCGGCTGGCGGGGGTCAGGTTAGGGCAGGTCGTGTCAGGTCACTAAGTGGTCGTGCGGACCCGGCGGCGGCTGCAGGGGTAGGTCAGGCCACAGAGGACTCGGCGGAGGCTACAAAGGGGGGGACAGGTCAAGTCGGGCCATATGAGTGACGGTAGCAGCCCGGCCGCCCGGCGGCGGCTGGCGGGGGAAGGTCAGACTCAGGTCACAGAGTTGTAAGGGCTCTGCACTAACAGAGGTTAGTAAACAGTAATGCTAGGTTTTAAAAATCAAATGACTGACAACAGAACGTACGCAATAGGACAAAATACTATCCAGATATCGCACACATACCTTTGATAGAGATTATGAAACACTATGCTCAGAGTAACGACACAACAAGCCGAGCAACCCTGCTATTCTGCGTCCACCCCAGAGCGCCGTCTCGCTAAGCTGGTCTCCTCACTCACCGCGTTGACCTCCTGGTCCTCGTACCAGACGCTGATGTAGGGATGACGCAGCGCTTCCTCCACCGATATACGGCGCTCCGGGTCAATGACCAGCATCTTGGAGAGCAAGTCCCGCGCCTGAGCCGCTGTGGGGTCAGAAAGGTCAGAGCAGAGGTCAGAGAGAGGTCACAGGGTCAATGACCACTATCGTCACGCGCCTGAGCCGCTGTGGGGTCAGAGGTCAGAGGTCAGAGAGAGGTCATAGGATGGGTCACGAATCACTGAGCGGGACAAATGTCAAAGAAAAAAGTCATAGATAATTGAGTACATAACGAAGTAGGTGAGCTACCAAAGGTCAGTTGAAGCACAAGATGAATTATCAGAAGTGAACTGGCTATACGAAAGCAATAAGAGGAAAAACACACACGAGCAATTAAAAGGAAACGGCAGTTCACTATTGTCACGGACGTAAGAATGACGCAGGACGTTGTATAGTACATATGCAAAGGAAAATGAATGGATTTCCACCCAAAGCTGCGGTTGGAGTTCAAAGCAATTAGGGACATGACATTAAAATGAAATGACGCTAATTATTTGTATTTGATTTATTTAACTGCTTATGAAATTCCAGATCCAAAAGAGTTAATTAGCAAGGCTCCGATTTCTAGATATTAAATAGCACGAGAGAGGAAAAATCGAAGCTGACAACTTGAACATAAATTTAACCATCTCAAAATGAAATTGTCTACAATCATCAACTACTGTCGGTAAAGCCGCCACCCCGGGCGGGATTCGAACCCGCGCCCGCCGGCCACTGACGTTTGGTCCTGCCGTTCTCTGAGTTGTCGTCGGGGAACAGCATGTCGGGGAAGAGGCGCTCGAAGCTGTAGCCCGGGTGGCGCGGCCGGTTCTCCACATAGTTTCGCACGGTGGGTAGTAGGCGCTCCATGAACTCCCGGGACGGCGTGCCCAGCTGCTCTGTAACAGGGGGAGGCAGAGCGGTGAGGGAGAGGGAGAGAGCAGTGACCAGCTGCTGATCTGTAATAGCGGGAGGCAGAGGGGTGAGGGAGAGGGAGAGAGCGGTGACCAGCCGCTCTGTAACAGGGGAGGCAGAGCGGTGAGACAGACCGAGGGAGAGAGCAGTGACCAGCTGCCCCTCTGTAACGGGATAGGGCAGAGGGGCAAGTGAGACAGAGGGAGAGAGCAACAGTGATGTCACGAGAGGCAGAGGGGTGAACAAAGGGAGGTAGAGGATGAAGCAGTACCCATCTGCTCTGCAATGAATCTTCTTTGACACCATCCTTCCACGGCAGATACACTGTGCTTTTCCCCCGACACGGACCCCATATTCCTTTCCTCACGGTCACTAACCAATAATATTAGTTCCTCCGAAGAAGCGACAGAGTCACTATGTGTCCCTCCCCCTTCCCATCCCCCCCCAGTGATCCCTTCCGTACTAACCGATGATTTTGTTCCACTGGTCGATGTGGTCCGACCCAGGGAAGAGCACGGCACCTCGGATAATCTCGCCCATGATACAGCCGATTGACCAGATGTCCACGTTCTCCTTGTAGCCCATGCCGAGAATCACCTGCGAACATACGTCATAGTGACGTCATCACTCGTCAGATGTCCACGTTCTCCTTGTAGCCCATGCCGAGAATCACCTGTGAACATACGTCATAGTGACGTCATCACTCGTCAGATGTCCACGTTCTCCTTGTAGCCCATGCCGAGAATCACCTGTGAACATACGTCATAGTGAGGTGATCTGTGGACACATTCTCCATGTAGCCAATTTTATAGATCACCTAATATCATACCATATACGTTTTACAAGTAGAAACATGCATATCAATAAACCATTTTGAAGAAAAAAAAATAATTGCCATCAGTTGTAGTTTGTGTTTAAAATAAAGTTCTCACAAAAGCACGTTATAGGTAGCAGCTCTCCCAGCCACGTTCTAGACAAGTATTTCACACCTCAGGCACGCGGTAGTAGCGCGCCATTCTTACTCTCCCTCTCCTCGCCCTATCCCTACCTCCCTCTCTCACTAGTTCTCCACTCTCCCCCTCTCACCTCGGGGGCGCGGTAGTAGCGCGTCACCACGTAGGGCGTCATCATGAATGACGTTCCCGTAGAGCGCGCCAGACCAAAGTCCAGGATCTTGAGCGTGCAGTCCGTCTTAACCACAATATTGCTAGGCTTCAGGTCCTGCCGAAGACGGGGAAGACGGGTTAGTGACGGTCGTCCCCTCGCCCTATAACGTGATACAATGTGGCTACAAAGTAACGGTGAAATGTGATAGCAATATGCAAGCAACAGGGAGCAAAATCAGCGATACGATACAGTAAGTAAGAATACGTAAGTGTAGTATCAGAAATCCACTTGAGCAAAAAAGGATCGAAGTAAGTGGACTTCTAATGATGGTAATGATTATGAGGACAAGTTATAGGAGAGCCTAGGTCAGGTGGAATTGTGACACATTTCTAAATCACTTAGCTGAATTCTGACACGCCACGGTATATACTCTTACACAACCGAAGAGCCAATTATCAAGTGAAATGAGCACTTCATGAAGAAAGTGAGCGCACTCGCGAAATATTCCCCTAACTGCGCCTCTGGCACCCGATCCCTGCCCTGCCGTTAAAGATAGCCCGGTTCGCCCCGGTGCTGCGCGGAGCCCAGTTCGGGTTTCTCCGGCCATTACAGACTCGCCAGGGTCCGTAACGGCGTCTAATGAGTAGAGTTCGGATCGGGTTGGTGCGGGAGAGAGTTGGTGAGGCTCTGGTCACTGGCTAGGTCCGGGAGCGGACGGGGAGCCGGGGCCGTTTAGACAGAAACAGACAGCCAGTAGAGGCCGCGGACTGACAGGGAAAGAGAGGTCCGCATTTAGACTGAAAGTTACTCGTAGATCAATCCGCGGACTGACGTAGGGCTGATTCAACTCGACGAAGACGGAGAGCCAATAGCTTCATCAAAACTGAGGCGTTCAGTTGACCTTACAGCGACCGAGTGCATGGGGTGCAGCGCAAAACCCACCAAACGCATAGATACGCTACGATTTTGAAAACGGCACAAAAAGCTATACTCACTCTCAGTATACCGCTCTGCACCGTTGACACTAACAATTATAATATAATTTCGTTCATTGGGGTTTACGGGCGCGTCGACTGCGGTGGTCATTTTGCGCCCAAATTAATTATAATATAAACAATAAAACAATAAATCAAATAATTGGGGCGATCCAGGTGTTCCATAGTTCTAAAAGTATTCAGCCTGGCACAGGTTAACGGTGTTCGATTAGAAGCCCGGGCCCTCGCCTGATTTCAGCAGAACGGCTCGTGCTCCCCAGCCTCACTTTCTGCTGAGAGTGAGACCGACAGTCCGGGACTGCAGCCCAAACCGGCCATAGCAACCCCGAGCGAGACTGATCAGCCCGGCAACAGACGAAACGGGGCGCCGTCCGAACAACAGACGCAGCGGAAACTCGACAGAACGGGTGGCCAACTTCGCGAGAGTTGGGACAACTGATTGACGGCTCAAGTTCGCACCAAATTGCTCACAAAAACACACGCACAAGTTTGCTATCAATCAGATTATAGGCTAGCTGTCATAAGGATGATTTCCTCTGGGGCGGCACGAGGACATATCAAAGGCACAGACATAGTATGTCAAATTATTTTGTGAAATTAGTGACTCGGTGGATTATAATGAAAGGGCTTGGGAAAAAGCACACGGCAATGTTTCACTCCACTCCTATAAATCATGCACTGGAAGTAGGCTGAGCAGATAAGTGGCGTAGAAGTGTGCACGTACCCTGTGTATGATGCCGGCCTTATGGAGGTGTTTGATGCCACACCGACATTGGTACATCAGATAGGATATGTGTCGTAGAAGTGTGTACGTACCCTGTGTATGATGCCGGCCTTATGGAGGTGTTTGATGCCACACAGACATTGGTACATCAGATAGGATATCCGCTCGTGGTCCAGATCCAGCTGAAACGAGAAGAAATCACCAGTCACAATGGGTAGTCACAGTGACGCACTTTGGACTGCAACGGTCCGGTTACCAGTCACAGCAGTTCACCAGTAATGAACTAATGAAAACAGCAAACGCAAGTAAAATAGGAAGGGTATCAACACAACACGTAAGCAACAGTTACCATGCTTCAAACAACAACAACAACAACAACAACAACAACAACAACAACAACAACAACATCAAACTAAAGGATCGGCTAGAAACGGGACAGACAAGCGTGAAAACTGACGACAAAACAAATTACCAGTCACGAGAGGATAACATTTCAGTTTCACAGCTAGCAGCCGTATATAGTGTACCTAATAATCGGGTCCCAATGTCAAGTCCAAGCACTCTCAAGTTAGGTAACTAGAGGAAGTGAGTATCTGCAGTGTCTCTCTCTCCCTCTCCGTCGCCGCCGTCTTCCCTCATCTTTCCTTTCCATCCACCCAATCACAGAGCACCACCGCCGGCTGCGTGAGGTCCCGACCACAAAAACACCGCCAACGCGTCATCAGCCCCCACCGCCATCGACCGATGACGTCACAGTGACGTCATACAGCCACAGCAGCGGCTCTGTCCGGCCGGGCTACCACAGACTAGGACCAGGGGTCCAATGAACAGAAGGGAAATGGAGCGAGCGTAGTGGGAAAGGAAATGCACTTGACCCCACTAGAAGGTAGGGTTATCATGAAAAGCGGCTTGGCTAGGCAGTCGCTAGGCATCATTTTTGGAGACATGGACTGACATGGTGGTGTCAAATATGAAGAATTCAAGATTCCTTGCGAAAGTAATGGCGGAGATGTGAGACTTATATCAAAAGATCGCCGGATATGAGACTTCTGGAGCGCGATCGTGAGCTATAAAGGACATCTGGTGGGAATAATGAACACTGAACAGGCTGGGATATTTGGTGGTCCGGCGATCAGACTGACCGAAAGGTAGGTGGGAAGCGATGAAACACCGAGGAAGGCAGTGCAGAACGGGAACTTTATCTGAGGAACTTCATAAGGGAACAGAGGAACTTTATCTGAACATGGGAACAGAGGGCACTGAGTGTGCGAAAAGGTTCAAGAACACATAGGACCGACTCTTTAAAGAGCCGAGGCTCCCCGAAGTCGAACCTGAGGACGGTAGATGCAGGGAGGCAATCGCGAAGTGAACTTCACTGTTTCAAACGTCAAAGCGATACATACAGTACGAAAAGTGACAAATATCATCAGAGACAGATATCAATGATCAATCAATCAAATCAATCTTAAGTGGGGGAAAAAATGAAAAAGAGCAGCCAAACCTAAAAAACAAAAGAATACTGTATACGCCAAGCGCACACACACCACGTAACGGTCGCAATAAAAGCATGCAGCTTGACATTTACTGAACTCGCTTCGTCATGCAGATCTGCTAGGAATACACAAAGCTTAGTTATATTTACAGATACAGCCTTAGTCAATAGCATCAAGCACTAGCGCTTGCATGGCTAGCCTAACCCCAAACAAGTTTTTTTACTTAGTTAACCTGCGCCCCACTGGGGTCTGCGTATAGCACGCCCTACTGAGGGGGGGGGGTATGAAGGGGGGCTATTCATAGCCCCCCCCCCTCCTAACTCCGAAACTACTGGGCCGATCGTCAAAATTCAAACGGCGTCTGATAGCCCCGGAAAAACTGTCGAACGAAACCCAATTTCATTGACCTCGAGGTCACCGATGACGTCACAGGTTAGGTAAAAGTAAAAATTATTAGCATTTTGGCTTCTTCACGTTTTGGGCTCTGGCCGCCGTCTTACAAGTCAGATCAGGCTCATTTTTGGTTCACACACTCGTGAACAGATGCTCTAGATACTCTGAGGGTACCAAATTTGTACTATGATTTTCAGGTCAAGGTCAGGTCATCACAGGTCACGAAAATATTATATCATCCGTCGGTCACGTGACACATGTTTTATGGTCCATTTAGGCCAAACATTTCGAATTTGATGTCGTATGTGTTATTCGAGGTCATTTTGAGTCAGATTTAGCTTAGGTCAGGTCACTTTCAGGTCAAAAAAGGTCAAATTTTGAAGTTAAAATTTTTCAACAAAAAAGGTGTCTATTGGATGCAGTTTGAGCTCAGGAACACGGTGGTGCTATTTATGTTGGCGTACGATGTCAAATTCGTGCTGAAAAATGGATTTGAAAAATTAATAATTGGTCATTTTTTGCAATAATGCGTATAACTTGGCCATTTTTAAGATATTTAGCTAAAACATGCTAGAGTTAGTCATAATAATGCGTTCTATCACATATATTCCGGTTTTTCGAAAAGTCAAAACAAAAATTGAAAAAAATGTAAAAATATAAATTTTGAATTTCATTATATAAAATTTTCGAAATTTTCAAAATTTCGAAAATTCGAGATAGCAGTTTGATAGCGCAGTCTATTCTGAGTCCTTTCATGCAAAGAAATTGGATCTAGCTTAAAAACAGCTCTTGGGAGCGATTGCCGTGGTTCAATGTTTTGCGTCGAAATCGGCCGAACATGACGTCACTCTGACGTCATTTCCGGCCGACCTATGGTAGGTACGAAGTTCAAATTTTGACACAAGGTGTCAAATTGATGCAGCCGAAGGTACAGAAAGTTTGGCGTCAATACGTCAAGCGGTTTGGAAGTTATTGCAGAAAAAAGGGAGGGGGGGGGCTATAAATAGCCCCCCCCCCCCCAGTGGGGCGCGGGTTAACATAGGTTACCAGATACGTCTTCTACATGGGCAATGGCATCCCTCAAGCAAGCTCTACAGCTCAAAAGCTCAGGCATGCACCTCAAGCATCAAGCACCATCCAGGCACCAAAAGTTTCGGTGGCAGCCCCTTATGTAGCAGTGGGAGGGCTGCACTTGTCCGCTTACCACTGCCAGCATCGATAGCACCTTCATTCAGCGGAGCTGACCACAACATAACACCAGCAGCATTGACAAGCTGCCTGCGCGGAACAAAGAAGCTTCTGGAGCTTTCGAGTTTGGAAAGTTTTCAAGCTTCCTAAGCTCCCAGTGCGGACAAACAAACAGTTTTAAGGAGTTGACGACGGGCTCCAAAAGCTCCCAGCACAGAAGGACGGAACCAAAGCGTCGCTGTGTGCCTTTACGAGCTCCGAGCAGGGGAAGAACCTAGAGCGTCGTCATCTGCCTTCCAAAGCTTCCAGCGGGAATGAAGAAAGCAAAGGCGTGACAATCATTTTGAGTAGATACCAGCAGAGGAGGTGCCTTTGGGGGTCTTCGAAAGCTAACAGCGTGGACGATCAAATCCAAAGCATCAGTGTTTGCCTTCGAAAGCTTCGTGCGCGGACAGGCGAACCCAAATAGTCACCGTCGGCCTTTGCAAACTCCCAGTGGGGATAGATGAACCCAAAACATCCATGTCCCCTTCATAAGCTCCAAGCTAACCAAGCTTCATAAGCTCCTAGCTATGACGGACAAACCCAAAGCGTCGCCATGTGCCTTGCTAAGCTCCCAGCGTAGATGAGCAAATCCAAAGCGTCACAGTGTGCCTTCGTAGGCTCCCTAAGCAGACAGACTGACGAACCCCAAACGCCACCCAAAGCGTCGCCATGTGCCCTCGAAAGCTCCCAGCGGTGGCGGACGAAGCTCCTGAAGCTCCCTGGGCTCGGACGGACAGACCCAGGGCGCCGCGGTGTGCCTCCGAAAGCTCCCCTAGCTCGACGGACAGACTGGACCCGTCTGCACCTACCCCAGTTACCTGGATCACTTGGCAAAGGTTGGCGTCCATCAGCTCCATCACTAAGTAGACGTCCGAGAACTCGTCCAGCGTCTTTTGCGGCGTGAACGCGTTCAGCAGGCCGATTATCTGTGAAGGGGAGAGGTGGGTTAGCTCAGCAGGGGAGATTATCGGCGGCAGCGGAGAGACGTGGGTTAGTTCAGCGGGCCGATTATCTGTGAAAGGGAGAGGTGGGTTAGCTCAGCGGGACGATTATCTGAGGCAGGGGAGAGGTGGGTTAGTTCAGCGGGACGATTTCTAGGAACAGGAGACGTGGGTTAGTTCAGCAGGCCGATTATCTGGGGAGGCGGGGAGAGGTGGGTTAGTTCAGCAGGCCGATTATCTGAGGAGGCAGGGGAGAGGCGTGGGTTAGTTCAGCAGGGGAGATTATCTGAGGAGGCAGCGGAGAGGCGTGGGTTAGTTTAGCAGGCCGATTATCTGAGGAGGCAGCGGAGAGGCGTGGGTTAGTTTAGCAGGCCGATTATCTGTGAAGGGGAGACGTGGGTTAGCTCAGCAGGCCGATTATCTGTGAAAGGGAGAGGTGGATTAGTTCAGCAGGACGATTATATGAGGAGGTAGGGGAGACGTGGGTTAGTTTAGCAGGGGAGATTATCTGAGGCGGGGGGAACGTGGGTTAGTTCAGCAGGCCGATTATCTGAGGAGGCAGGGGAGAGGTGGGTTAGCTCAGCGGGACGATTATCTGCGGCAGAGGAGAGGTGGGTTAGAGAAACAGGTCGACAGATGGGCAATAATGACATACAGATACATGGATGGGATAGATCATCAGGTAGACAGATAGTCAAGACAAGCAGGTACATCAACGCATAGAGAGTGAGCGAGGCAAATAGAGACAACATCGCGAGGCACATCTTAGGCATAAAATGGCTACCACGATATAACGTGGTAGCCTTTTTACAATACAATACAATCGTCATCATAAGCCGTGGATACGGTACGAGTGCTATAAGGTATGCATTACAAGGCAACGAATGTAGTATTATGAAATAATGCAATGCAATGCAAAAAGTACCGTATCTTGAATACTGCCACAGACGTTATGCCACCGGGGCCTATCACGACTATTGCTATCGTAAGAAACGGAACTATCGCACGAGAATAGCCCGGATCATATGCTATCAATATTCCAAAATGGGCTATGCAGACAATCGTAACGAAGGCAATAAAGAGCTGGTGGATAAAGTACCTTTGGCGGAGCGACACTGTTCCCATATCAAGGGATTAATGCTGCTCTGGTTAATATAATTACCCTCATTTGTAGATCACATTGTAATTTTACACGCTTAAGTGTAGTGGGAAATCAGTCGTTACGGTAAGATCAGAACATAGGGAGAAATACGAATATAACATATGGTCTGACATAAATGAAAATTGAGCAGGAACAAATCAAAGAAGATATAGACGAAAGCAAAGAACGAATATAGGGGAGAGAAGAGGGAGGCAGACAGGGAGGGAAGGAACAAAGGAAGAAAAGAGGGAAGGAGAGAGAGAGAGAGAGAGAGAGAGAGAGAGAGAGAGAGAGAGAGAGAGAGAGAGAGAGAGAGAGAGAGAGAGAGAGAGAGAGAGGAGAGAGAGAGAGAGAGAGAGAGAGGAAAGGAGGGTAAGGGAAGGGAAAGACAGAGATAGATATTTAAAAGATCGAGAGATAGTGAGAGACAGACAGAAACATACAAGACAGAAAAGTCAGAGACATAGATGGTGAGATACAGTAAGAGTGACGGGCTCACGGCCCCTCGCGGCGCCCACTCACGTTCTTGTGGCTGACGAGTTTCATGAGTTTGAACTCGCGGTAGGCGCGCTTGGCGTGCGTTACATTCTGGAATGGCCGGCTGAGCTTCTTGATAGCCACCTGGTGGTTGGTGACCGTATCCAACGCAGAACTGCGAGAGAAAAAACAAACAGCGGTGTGTTAGCAGTGAGCACACGCACTAGAGTAAACATACCTACAGACAGACAGACAGAGATGATATATTAGCACAGCACATGACGAAAACTATGAGCAATGTCGAAATATATGGCCATAACGTTGATCGATGTGCTACGTTGTGCTGGGGCGAAAGACAACTAACTGATCAAACGGCCATCAAGGTAACATAGACAATATTTTCGAGAAAAAAAAAAGAAAATACATTTAGCACGTAGCCAGCTAAAATGCAGCTATGTCCCGGAGCGACTAAATATGGCCCCGACGTTAACCGATGCTGTTCCAGGACCAAAGTGGAAAACAAGCTAAATGACATCTATGGCCACGGCAAAATGATACCCATAAACCACAAGAATACACATTGGGACAATCAGCAATGACAAATGAGTCTCTTATGTAGGGGAGCCAGGAAAACATTTGAGTGGAAACTAACACACAGCGGCCAAATGTTGTTATCATTGCGTCGGTGTGGAAACAAACTGAGCAACCACAAGGCTGATTTATGCGATTAATTAGCATAAATTGGCAAACAAAGACAGCCTATGTCATTCGATAACATCCTCTACAGGGTGTCCCAAAAGTTCGTTCTCACATTATGTTTGCATGTGAAACAGAGTACATTGCGTTTTGATATGTTTATGACCCCTCAATGTGCTCCCCATTTAATAGGCAAACACATGAATACATGCAGTGGCATGCCAACCGGCATGTTTGGCTGCATAGCAGGCTTTAAGTTAACCCAGACTGACTTGACATGCGCCGTGAGCTCCTCGAGGCTGGAACAGCGCTACGCTTCGACGAGCCTCAATTTCAGCATAACCAACAAATTTTTATGAAATTTTGATCCGATGAAGTGCCTGGCATGTGATCTTGCCACAAACGCCTGTCACAGTCTCCTTGCACCGCTTTTAGGCTTTGCTTGACCTGTGCACTGATGCACTGTCTTGCCTGAAGATGGGCCTACGACCTCCCGGATGCCATTTTCTCCTCTATAAATGTGTTCATACTCGCGGTTCGAGTTCAGCTTCAAGGCTGAAAATCCTCCTAGATGTTCTTGGAAAAGCATTCTGCTTCCCAAAACTGTTTCTGGGTTGCCACTTGCAGCTTGGCCAACTCCAGAAAGCCTATAATCCCACAACACAGTGACCCTGGCCTTTTGCATAGGAGCATAACGGGACGAAACGGAGGCCTCCTCCTTCGCCCTTATGGGGTTGTTTTCGGGTTTGGACGGGTGTTTCATCTCGAACGTGGACTAGTTAGTCCAGATGACCTGGTTGATGTCATCAGCCCTCTAGTTTTGTTTCGCCTAAGGCATAACGAAACTCATGTCTGGCCATTTTAAGACGTTTTTGACTGTTTTGTGCCCTCCGGTAAGCAAAGCTTAACCCGCGCCCGGCTGGGGGTCCTGGATTTCCTGGATTTTTGAGTTATGTACCCCAAAAGAACACTCTTAAACAGCTGGCAATCCATCCTGAAAAGTCTGCTTACTAACTTTCTAACCCGTTGACTTTGTTGATGGCCACTTTGGCGCCACACAGTTTTGGCCACTTGGCTCACTCCTGAGGGCTGACTGGAAAGAGGATAAACTTGCAGTGATTGACTCCCGACAAATCATCGGCGTCACTTGCTGACTGTGCGTCCAGTTAGCGACAGACATTGGCTACATACTGGATGGCCTCAATCACCCTCAACCGTCGCGAATGGTCACGTGCTGACTAAATACTGAGACGTACCCGTATCAGAGACCTCGATCTTGCGGCGTTAGCCGTCTCTGTCGGTCACCTATCCGTGCTTCTATCCTCAGGATACTGAAATCCTTCTCCTCCAAGCCGCAACCCCCCTCCGGGCTGGACAGGCAACTTTATCTCATGCGGGCTGCTCTCTTGGAGCGGCACCGCTGCTCCTGAGGGAGCGCACCCCGTAGCCGGGTGCAGTGAGTGCCTTGGGGCTGGGTGGCCTGTCCTCTGGACGGGCTCAGCCCCGGCGACTCACTAGGGTGCCTGCCCAGACCAATGTCTCCCCCTAAATCCTATCATCCTTCCGGCTCTGCAATGGTCTTGTCGACCGAAAGGGCCTAACCCAACAAAACAAAAACAAATGATGGCCACTTTGGCGCCACACAGTTTTGGCCACTTGGCTCACTCCTGAGGGCTGACTGGAAAGAGGATAAACTTGCAGTGATTGACTCCCGACAAATCATCGGCGTCACTTGCTGACTGTGCGTCCAGTTAGCGACAGACATTGGCTACATACTGGATGGCCTCAATCACCCTCAACCGTCGCGAATGGTCACGTGCTGACTAAATAGGGGAGAGTGGGGTAATTTGGCCGGTGGTGTAAATTGGCCGCCCCCACCTGTACGATGTCTTATAAAAGTGAGTGAAATAACTCTAGTCTCTATTCATTTGTCATGGGTAGAAATAACTGGAGGACAAATGTCAAAACTTTGCCCCTCGTAGTTTTATTCAAAATTAATAAAACGTTAATTTCATTAGAAAATGGTAACTTTTACTTCTGTTTACAAAGTTGTATAACATGTAGTATTTGGGCTAAAAACGAATTCAGACATTATAGCGCCATTCTTGGGGGTGTTCAGCGGTTCCAAGAGCAATTTTATCTAATTCCGTAAAGCCGTGATGACTTTATAGACATAAATTTTCAGAATGGCAATATGGGGTAATTTGGCCGGGACTAGTGGGGCAACTTGGCCGGTGCGCTCATGGTCACTATGCTGGGACGGCCGAGTTTTCATGGTCAATTGTACCATAAATGACATGATTCATGACCAACTTTGACTACTTTGATGCCTTACTTCCGATTGGTCAACTGTAAGAGCATGTGACGTCATCAAAGGTTACCAAACGTTTTTTTGCTAATAAATCCTTACATGAAAATGGTACAGCCGCACAAATGGTCTCATTCTGTTCAGCTCGCCAAGGCGCATCGAATGATATGCATGATGACCTTGAAATCACGTGACCTTGAGGTTAAGCGACCTGATGCAACGTGACCTGAGGTCAACCTTTGACCTTGACTTCTCAAGGTCAACACATATATCTTTCGATGCGGACTGACGAGAGAATTACGATGGTACTCAAAGTTTTGGCCTAGCTTGATTACTTCAAAAGTTATTCGTAAAAAACGGTGATCGCATCTAGAGCCGCTAATTTGGCTATTTTGACCCCTGTGACCCCTGAGCCAACCTCCAAAATGCAGCAAATGCGTCATAGGACACACGTCATTGCTGAATCTGAAGCTGACTCGCAATATAACAGAAAATCCCGACCGCAAACTAACACCGGCCAAATTGCCCCACACCCCCGGCCAAATAACCCTGCTAGTGGGGCAATTTGGCCGCCTTGCAGACCTTTGTAATACGTCACAATTTCAATATAAGTAATTACTCTATCATTTCAAGTTCACTGTCCAGTAAAGTAAAATGAATGCGACACCTGCCAGCGTTGAGAAAATGCAGAAATGTGTCGTCAATTTTAAGTTATATCGTTTTCTAAAAAAAAGCGGCCAAATTACCCCACTCTCCCCTACTGAGACGTACCCGTATCAGAGACCTCGATCTTGCGGCGTTAGCCGTCTCTGTAGGAAACGGGCTCTCTAGCAAAAACTATTTTGTCTACAGAAATTAGCTACTGTGGAGCATATTTCTACTAGCCATGGCAACCACGTAAGCTCAATTACGAACCAATTTCAGCGTGCCTTTAAGCAAGAGAGCCTAAAAACGTAAAATTTAGGTGAGAACGAACTTTTGGGACACCCTGTATATGCTTTAATTATCAGCATTGTTCGGTTAGAAATAAGGTAGGTGTAACCAATGTGATTGGGGCGGACTATGCTGGCTATGTTCCGAGTTTAGATAAATAAGGACTGGAGCCATTATTAGTTTTCCATGGTCATTAAAGAGGTGCATGCATATTGCTTATAATGCCCGGATAGAAATAAGTGACAAACCAAAAATGATAACGATAAATTTTGCTGGACAGCAGGCTTGGAATAGCCATTCATTTATGGAAAGATGACAGCCACGCACTTTGTTAATATTGACGGACATTGCAAAAGCCTGTTCCAGCAAATTGCACTCGAGGCCGAACAGAGGAGCACATTCTTTCAGCAGTCAAATTCTGCCACGCACTCCATCAATTTCGACCACACACCATTTGTGGCCAACTCAAGCGCATCGAAACAGAATGCCTCTCGAGCAGCAATTTACCGTTCAATTTGGAGTTAACGCTACATTCAGGGTTCCACATAGCTACACACGAAAAATAGTAAAAATCAGGTAAAAATATCAACATTAGTGCTGCGATATTGAATGTAATGATAGTCTGGACACATTACTCATCCAGTACGTAAATTTGTAAGAAACTCTCTGATCACACCAATCATTTTTCGCGTAATGTTTGTTTTAAACAAAGGTGCGATATTTTCATATCCGTACGATTGAGACTTGACATTTTCTGCAGCGTAATGCTCAATGGATTATGGTTTTTAAATTGACGTTAGTGCTGGCGATTGAGTGGCGGAAAAGCATCCAAATGGAACCCATCCTACAGTAGACAAGCATCCGAGTGAAAAAATAAGCAAAATTCAGCATATTTATTCGTCTGAGTTGGGACACACTCACAAGCTACTAAATCTAGCGAGCGCAGAATGTATCATCAGTTTCCGACCACCTTCACGGACCGGCTTATTTCCGATCATTCACCATCCAAGGCCCGCGACTGGCCATCAACAAGAGCCACGCATCCCTCTCTCTCATCCTCCGGTCTCCCAGCTTTACACATCATTAGATAAGGCCACACACCCTAGCGTTCAGTTTGTCATAGCTCCCCCCAGGCGGTTCA